AGTAAACCTCACTGGGCTGGCATCCTTTGCTGTAGCTGCCCCAGCAGTACAGAGTTCTCCCATTAGAATAGAAGACTACTGTCTTCAGTTTTAATGATTTTGCTTTTGAAAGATGGTGGCCTGTAGCATTCGTGGCATGAGAAATTTCATACTAAATGTCTCCATAAACTGTTTTCAGATTTCTCAAATAATATCCATTGTGCATATTTCACATATACACATTTTAGCCTTGATGAAACAAAATCTTGACTGATATTACTTAAACTCACGCTTATCTTATCATCTACCTATATTACCTCATTTTCATAATCTAAGCAGCGTCGGAAGATGATGTGAAAATGCCAGTGCGTTAAAGAACTGAGCCTCTTAAAACTCAACTTCACATGCCATGCCCTTCGTTTACTGAAATGGAACAAAATTTGCTTTAGCCTCTTTTCTGAATGAGGTTCGTGCTCAGTTCCCAACTTGTCTCATTATATTTATGACCCATGACATTACTACATCTATAATAATACTAAATTATAAGCTTCCATCATGCATTAGCAGCTGTCTCCCACTCACACAGGAACCAATTCCTACTTGCCCATTAGAAGCCATTATGTTTTGGAAATACCACATTCAAAATCCCTGAATTACAAATAGATAAAAAGATCTGAAAAACATATATAAAACTTAGAAGACTTCTAAGGTTTCTTCATCAGCATTTGACTGATCCATCATCAAAGGTTATCTGCTACTCAACTACTAATCACATTCACCCTTACAACTGAGCTGAACTCCTGAACAAGCTATTGCAGTGCTCCCTTAAGTACCCGTGGCACTGTTTACCTTATACTGTTGGGAAACCAAAGGTTGAGCAATGGATATTCAGCATAGATTCTTTTTTTAGCATGAATTTCTAGTTACAGAAATTGCATACCACAGAATACTTCAATTCTGCCACTGCTTCTTTCTACAGCACCATAAAAACACCAAGAAGGACTTTTGCTTCAAAAAGTTAAATTATGGGAGGGAAAGTACAAAGGTTCTTAAATAGATATCCTGATATAGGACATTCCTACATTACTTCATTATACATTTTCTGATAAAAGCATGACAACCAATTCTGAAACAAATCATATGAGAATTACATAATGGAAAAATAAAGGCTCATTGACATTGAAATGTAACTTCTGGTGACATTTCATGTACTGCTGACTGGAAAACTCGTGTTTTAGTTCATAGCTTCACTTCTCCTCATGACAAACAATGATGATGAAATTATAATGTGAATAACACAAAGCCAGTGCACCTGCTCATCAAATCATTACAAAAGGAAAGTCATAGTAAATCTACAAAGCAAAAAGCTGAGAGAAGTGTGTCACAAGTTGAGGCATGTCACAAATACAGTAGATCAATTAAGCTGTCAAATCAAGTCTAGTTTTCAGTGACAGATCCCTAAGCTATCTCGATTTGGGGTTCATATCTTAGCACTCTGTGGCCTTACTTCTCACTGCTGTGTGTTCCTGTTAGTACCTCAAAGGGACCTGCACCTCCAGGATGGTGCAAGACGTGCGCCTGTGCTGAAGTATATTCATGTTCATGAGCTGCCACTGAAAGTTCAGTTTCTCTTTTTCTTAGCTTCTCTGTGTTCATAGACTCCATTTATATTAAAATATCATAAGATGGAGTGTTTGCTTGCTTGTTTTTCAAGGAACACGTAGGGTTTGATGTTTCTGGTGTTGTTGGTTCCTGCTTCTAAGAAAGTCTCCCACTAAGATTTTGGAGACAGTGCACATAAAGCTGCTAACTCATCTGCTTTTATTCCTCATTAACCGACCTACTGCTCTTTTCTCCACTTGCCCCGTGTTTCTAGACACCTAGCAGCAGCATGACACAGACACTGCAGGACAGTAACTCCATGCTCTACACCACGCAATGGCTCCAATGAATCTGCCAGACAGAGGGCAGTGTCTGTGCATATATGTACAAACAATAGGTGTACCAAGGTTAGGCTAAGGAGGATTATCGTGGTGGAAAGATAATAAACAAAATATGCTCACCAACGTTGTAGGCTCACAATAAACTCCACAAGGAGTAATCTCAGTAGTAGTCAGCACTTAAATGGGATCTAGGAGAGGTGCAGCCAGGCTCCACTCTTTCTGGTAGCAGAGGAGAATTGCCTTCACCTGTGCTGCTGCAGCTGACTCATTGCTTGCCTCGGGTGGTCAATCAGAGGTTCAGGCCGTGATCAACAGTTCCCATGCAATATGCCTTGGATTGGAAGAGACCTGAAAGACCATCTAGTTGTACCTTCCTGCTGTGGGCAGACCACCTCCACGTTGCATGCACCAGCAATTCAGAACATGTTGGACTATAACACCTGCATTTTGTAGCAACTGCCTACGTATTTCTTACAGGAAAATCTCAGATAGAAATATGGCTCTCAGAACTTTCTTCACGTGAAAAACTTGCAGCTATGACTCCAAGTTACTCAGCAGTTACTAGGTCTCTCTTGAAAGGAGCTGAGAGTTACTGACCCCAGGGGTAGTCCATACTGCGGGAACTTGAGTGGCATCTCCTTTACTGGGTGAGATTACTCAGGATTTATTATAATTAGGGGGAAAAAGTTCAAAACTGATGTGCTGGGATGACAGCATTGCTGTGCTGGTGTCATCTGTCTGCTGGGATCATGGTGAGAGGGTATAAATAGTCACAGAAAACACAGTAGCAAACAAACTGCTTTGGAACAGTAACAGAACAACCTACTAAGTAAACAAAATTGCACTGGGAGAAACTACTCCCCTGCAAAGCATTCAGGTTGAAACTGAATCTATGAGGAAAGAACTAAGGAAAACACAAATCCCCAGAACTGGCAGTGCTCTTTGTTATGCTCCGGACAGACTCTGTTTTAATGCATGCAAGGCTCTCTCTCTTCCTGAAAGACTCTCCTCGAAACCCATCTGTTCCGCGGTGCATCCTACTTAACAAAGCCTCCCACCATGCCGTCTCAGCATTGTACCGCTCAGTGCTGTCCTCTCCACTTTCAGCTTGTGCTCCCCACTGCACTCTCTTCCGGAGGGAAAACCTCCTATTTATGTCTCACAGTTCTCCTATTGTACTGCCCTGTATGCTTACGCCACTGTAACAGCCTGCCTGGAGAGGAGAGGCTCAGTGAGCAGGAAAAGAAACGCACTTTATTGCCGGAGCTCAGCATCCAGACGTGCCGTCTGTGCAGTGATAGGCTCACACAACACCTGCTGTCCCCTGGCAGTGTGCAGTGCACGCAGCCGCCATTTCGCATCGCTGCTGTGAGTGTGGTTGTGAAAAGCCCTGGCTCTGTGCAGGCTAGTGCCAACCTGCAGGCACGAAACCACCTCTGTTAGCACTGACATTACATGGCTGAAACACCTCAAAAGGTCCAGAAATCACCACGGTGTGTGATGAAAATGAGCAAGGACCTTTCCTGTTAACCAAGGCCCTTCTGGTTAAAATAGAGGACAGTGGAGTCGCTGCCAGGAACATTGCCCCCCACCAACTACAGTTCTCCCTGGCACTCTCCTCTCTGCTTTGATGGTACTTTTAATTCTTATTTTTCCTGTTAGAGTAATGATGCAGAAATGAGGCTATGCATGAGACTTCAGCATTTGCTGGAAGGCCTCAGGAGGTCTCAGAGCTGCTGTGAACCCTCTGAGGCTGGAAGTTCTGCAGTTACGCTCTGCCCCGCATGATGAGACTTGGCAAATGGCTGGGACTCATCAGCATAAAGTGAGTGATTAATTAAGTGACCTGCACTGCAAGCCCATACATCAGAACTGCAGAAGCAAGGCTTTAACCACATCCATGCCTGGATACACACACAGACCTTGGGAGCATGGCAGCACTGTGAGGAATGAGAGAAATTACCTCAGTGTACAGCCTGGTGTGCTGTTTTCAGATGGGACTGAGGTGATCTCCTTCACAGTGCATGGAATGATGCTTTGTTTTGGCTTTAGGAGAAAAGCAGCACTGATAACACACCCATGTTCTAGCTGTTGCTGAGCGGTGCTGCACAGAGCCAAGGACATTTCAGTGTTCCAGCTTGTGGTACTTCCCTGCAGTTGGTGCTATGAGCGACTACTTTGTGCATGCCTTATTTTGTAAATATGTATACAAGTGGTGCTCCAAAAGTAGTGCCTTACATTTTTTTATGTTGGCTCACAGTGTCAGAGACAGATGTTGATGGTGTGGCAGTAGGGGTTGAACCTTCCTGCCAATATCCTGTTACATTTTGTTGCCATGCGACAGCTGGCAGCAGATGGGCAGAATGACAGACTGGTGTCTGACATGGAAATGCGTACAAAGCAAAGGCATGGAATTGAATTCCTCCATGAGGAATAAATAGTACCAACTGATATTAATCAACTCTTGCAGAACTCTTATGGAAACCAAGCAGTGGGTGTGAGCACAGTGAGGCAGTGGTGGTGTTACAGCAGTGCTAAAACAGACAGTGGTCACCTCTGCAGGAGCACAGCATGCAGGCTCCTGTTCACTGCTGGTGAAAATGCACAGCTAATGATGGTGACTGTGTTGAAAAAATAGTGTTATGTGGCTGAGAATTTGCTTTATCAAATGGTGTTATTGTGCTCTTTGTACCTGCCATAGTCTCCATGGAAATAAATAGGAGTCATTATTTTTGGAGCAACCTACGTGAATGTGTGTACGCACGTATAATCATCACAACCACTATCCTGGGGGGGAACTGCAGCCACTTGAGGCAGGGCTCTCCCTCATGACATCCCAGGTGTGGACGCAGCACCCGCAGAGACATTTTTCTCCTTCAACCCAGGCCGCCCCTGCATCTCAGCGGTGAGCGCAGTGAGTGCAGTGCCCCACATCGCCCAGCGGGGGGCGCCCTCCCCCCTCACGGCGAAGGCGCCCTAGCCGAGCTGCTGTCCCTTTAAGGAGGAGGGCGCCCGCTGTCGGAGGCTGGGTTGTTCGCTCTGTCAGGTTCGTGCGCCCGCCCGCCCGGCTGTGCCGCGATGTTCCGCCTGCTGCGGCCGGGCCCGCTGCGGCCGCCGGTGCTGCCCCGCAGGTCTCTGCCCGCCGCCGTTTTCCGTCCCCCGGGCAGCGAGCAGCGCTTCGGTCGCCCTCTTCTCTCGCCAGCGCCGCCGTGCCGCGTAGCGCTGCGCGCCGCCACCGGCAGCCCCGCTAAGGTAGGGGGCTGGGCTCGCAGCCGGAGGAGCCGCCCGCCCTGGGGCGCTGCGCGGAGCGGGGCTCGGCTCGGGACGGCGGGGCTCGGCGCTGGCTGTCCGTGCTGTCCGTGCGGCTGCCCGCGGGACGGCCGGCTGCCGGTCGGTGCCGCTCCGTTCGGCAGAGCGCTGAGCTTCGGGCTTCTGCGGCAGCCGGGAATCGCCGGCACGTGAGCGCGGAGCGCCGGGTTGCGGTGTACAATCAGCGCTGTTCCTCGCATCCTTTCCTGTAATGAAACTGAAGAGTGGGAACGACTTTAGAAGTATTGCTGTATCAGAGCTGGAAATAATTGGATTGTCTAATTGTGAATGCTGGCTTTTGCTTAAAGAGCTTGCTTTAATATACATATATAGAATGAAAATTGTTTCCTCGCTTCCTTTTTAGCATTAAATCTGGTTTAACCAGTGAAGGGCTTAGAGGTGTTTCTGTTTTTTTCCTGCTGGACGTTTTTCAGCTTTCAGTTTCTGTTCAAACATTGCTTTGTTTCATGAGCCAAAGCCTAACAAAAGAATAATGATATTATTCCTTGTGTTAGAATAAATAAGGTTGTGCTCCATAGTTCCTTAATACGTGTTTATGGATCTGTGTGACTTTTCTCGAGATGAGATAAAAAGTAATGCAAATTCCAATGAGGGGGGGGGGAAGGCAAACATCATTTGTTTGCTTTGGGTAACGGGAGGGCGTGATTAAAATCGCTGTTTGAAGTGGGTTGGTCTCACTGTGAGCACTGTAAGACTGCCCTGTGTGTTTTGTACCCTGGTGACAATCCTGCCAAGTGCAGGGATGAACCAAAAGCAGTGGATATGGACAGAAATCTCTTTGGCACTTCCACCTCATCTCCCCAAAACTACGTGGGTGAGCTTTGGCATTCTTTTGTATCAGATAGAGTGCTGGAACCATAACAACTCCTTTTTTTTATGATGAAACTTAGGTTGTGTATTAGGTTGTGTAAGAATATGCACCAAGATCAGTACATCTGTTTAATGTAAATAGCTGGAAAATGAGAGCTTTTATGAGCTTTGCTATGGGCCTCAGCAATCCCAATGTAAAAAAGCAGAACAGTGTTGCTCTTTCCCAAAGCTTTCCAAGCATCACTACACATGCTAATTGTTTCATTCTTTCAAATCAGTTTGACTGATTGGAATATTATATGGTACTTAATGCTAATTAATACTATTGTGTTCTTTTTTAGGATGCGGGATCCCCTGAAAAGGCAGCCACAGATCTCAGTGGTGAGAACAAGAAACTCAACAAATCTCAGCAGCTGAAACAAGTTTTCAAACAATATGGTGCTGTAGGAGTTTCGTTCCATGTTGGAATTTCGTTAATATCTCTAGGGATCTTCTACGTGGCTGTGTCAAGGTGTGCTTTGTACAGTGTCTGTAGACTGTAATGGTTTAGACAAGGGAAATATCTGACCATTGTGCTCGTTTCTAAGGAGGCATTCTCTAAGCTTGTTGGATTTATATACAGGAATCCTCTGCTTTTTGTGTATAAATGGATTTGTAAGTTGGTCTAATCTCCAGTCAGGCATGAGTGAAGATAGATGTGGTGGGCTGATGAAAACAGAGCAGAGACTGCACCAAAGTGACTGACGAAACCAGACGAAAGAATTTACTTTTCTGCAGAGTATCTTTTGTTCTCAAACAGGAGTGTGGCATGTAGAGATAGAGCCGTATGAAAGTGCTGGAGCTTAGAGATAAATCTGTTTTTCTGGGAGCTGAACAAAGCTTAAACTGCAGAAGGCACCAGCCACAAAAAAAAAAAAAAGAGGATTAGACTATCCAGTATTTTCTGTTTTAACCTTACAGAAGAGGTGTAGGATATTGTGTATATGATTTCAGGGGGAAGGGCAGCAGCTTTAGATGCCTCTGTTTTGTGAGGAGGAACTGATGATTTCCTCCAGGAAGGTGGTGCACGGGGCTGAGCATTTTCTGTGCTGCAGTTGTGTGACCAATAAACTAAGAAGGTATTTGACTTTGTAGGGATCTTGTCAATTAAAACCAAAATTTGTATCTGAAAATAGGTATGTGCTGTTGTCACAGAAGTAAATCGTGCTGTTAGTCCTGGAAGAATTCATTTATTATTTATCAAAACTGAATAGAAATTCCAGAGTTGGAAGTTATGCCATGTTAAATTCCCTGAGTAAATAGCACTCCATATTCTTTAGTGTGCTGTTTTAAAATAAACTGACAAGTCTCGTTTTCTTTTTCCCCAGCGGTGTGGATATGACTCCAGTTCTCTTCAAACTTGGCTTCAGTGAATCATCCCTGCAGTCTAAGATGGCTGCTGGTACAAGCACGTTTGTGTTGGCATACGCCATTCACAAGCTGTTTGCCCCGCTACGAATCAGCATCACTGTGGTTTCTGTGCCCTTTGTTGTCCGGTACTGCCGGAAGATTGGTTTCTTCAAACCTCCTGCTCCAAAGCCATGATAATTTCTTATTGTTTCTTACTATAATTTGTTACATGTTTAATATTCATGTCGTTCTTCAGATACTCCTTTGAATTCATGTTAATGCTGACCTTCTCTTGCATTCCTCTGGCTTATTCTTTCAGGTAGATGTGGCAGTAAAAAGTGCTGTCCTCATCTTTCCCTTTATAGAAAGCTCTTGAAACAGTCTGGTTTCCACTTCAAGTGCTCACATAAATGCTTGACAATGTGCCGTCTCTCACAAAAACCAGAAGTACAATTCTGGGTCTTTATTTTCTGGATTTTTGGATCATTAATGTTTCTCATGCCAAAATGCAGTTGCAGTTTATTACTGCGCAGTTGGGAAATAGAGTAAGATTCCTTTCCCAGTAGTGGAGTGCTGTTTCTTCCATGGATCATGTAAACAGATCTGTTGGTAAGTAGGTGTACTGGGATCTAAGGTGCTACATGAGTGTTTCTTTTGTTGCAGAGGGCATATGTTATGATCCCACTCCTGCAATCCAACACACATGCCAAACTAACTTTAATGAGAGTACCTGTATGCTTAATTATTGCACAGTTACAATTGTTTTAGCTGGAAGAGGCAATGCTCCTCTCTGAAATTATGGCTCCTTTGTGGTGCTTCCGTATCTCAAGATTCTGTTGTTTGTAACTATGTTTTTCTGACCTTTCTAAGGTCTTTTTTCTTTTCCTTTCAGTTTTAAATGCTACAGACTCATACTGAGTCTAGTGAAATCGTTATAACCAGAATTACCTCCTGTGTGAGTGAATGTGTTCCAAAGATAAAGTGAGAAGCAAAGTAACTGTGGTGTTGAGACCTAGCTTTGTTACTGGGGGCATCTTGTTGGTCTGTTTTGGGGCTTTGTTTTTGTTTTTTAAGTTAGCTGTTAACATGGGGGCTCCTGTGGATCAATCTCTGATCCTCACCTGAAGTCCAGACGTTATAGTTTAGAACTTCTCAAAAGCAATTCTTGTGCTTGTCTGGTTGTCTGGTAGACTGTTGAGCATACCAACTCAAGGTGTAATTCACTTCCTTATTTGGGCAGTATTCCTATTAAATTGTATTTGCATATAACCACTTCTCAGTTAACCTAAAAACCGGATTTCAAATCTAGGTATTCAGCTTAACATTCTGTGCTAAACCTGGGTTTCAGACTTAGGGCTGTGCTTCTGTGAGATGACTGAAGCCACATCTGAGCCTTTTGGACCTGTTCTCCTTTCTTCATCAGTTCTTGTGACATTGTCTGCCTCTGTCTTTGTGCTTATCACTTATGCCATGGTGGCTTTGACACAGATCTATGAATATACAGGAATCTGAACTAAACTGGCAGAAAACTACTGTGACCATCAATGTATTTTTTTATTTTATGTTTTGCTGAGTTGTCTTTCTGAAAATAAATACTGCTCAAGTGAAGAGGGAAGAACGAGGCATGTCTTTATCCTGAGCAAGTTATTAACACTGCTCAGACAATGTTAAATTACATCCTCAGTTAATCAGCGTGAATATTATATTTGGTAGTGGGATGGAAGCTTATTGCTGGCTATCCAAGAGCTAAAAACCTCCAGTGTCTACACAGCAAAGGAAGGGATACTGTGCAGTAACAACATGCAGCCAGCACTTCTATTGTTTTCTGATCTACTGCAGTCTGGGGCTGGATAGAGATAATTTATGCTGTCTGCCTCTTTGACAACTGAAGTCTTACTTGGGCTCTTCTTGCTTTATTTTCCAAGAAACTTTCTTTTCTACACGTTCTCTGGCTGTTCAGGTCATTGTTCTGTTATCCAAGGGTAACAAAAAGGATTCCATTATAATCAAATAATGACAGCCTTATTTTGTTTGATCAGTGATTTCTAGCAATGGGGCTTGTCCTGAAGTTGATAAAAGGAGTCAAACTTCTCCTTTCCTGTTCCTAGAGTGTTTCTATAAAACAAGACTCATTTAAAGCAAATGTACCTGAAGTTATTAAGAGGTACAAGCAGTATGGATTGTGTTGTGGTAATAGAAAATCCAGTCATTAAAATTGTAACTGTAAGATAAAGATGGCTGTATGAACTACTGGCACTTTTAGATGAGTTTTTGGTAAATATTTTACAGTGATTTGAGAATATATTTTGAATCCTAGAATCCTTGCTTGTAAAAGATCTTTTTAAAATAGTTTGTAAGATAATAAGAGACCTTCCATGGCTCCTGATAATGAAGAAAATAAATTGCTTTCTCGTAGCATTTGCTTGCAATGTTTTACTGGAAAATAATTGTTTTACATGTTTTGTTTCTCTGATTGCCTTGTCTAATTGGAGGAATGAGAAAGCACTTAATGACAAATTACAAGCAAGTTTTATCATGTTTCTAATTATTTTTAATTAATTAAAAAAAACAACCACTATCCTTCTTTTCAAAAATGCAGAAAACCTTATGATTAAAACAATGATGCTGGAACGAAGCATTTTAATACTTTGCCATTTATGTCTATGTTTGTAACTATGGAGCCTAGGCTCTAATCTATTGATTCTGATATTTTGTAAATAGGGGGAAAAAATTTAGAGCCCAGGGTATAAACACCAGAGAATTGGAAATGTGAACTGGTAAGCATGCTTTGGTTTTTTTCCTTGTTTCTGATGTGTGTGTATATGTTAGACACATATATATACAGATGTATATCCATCTCCTGCTTGATAATGACTTTCCAGGTCTTTCTCTCTGAAGTACTTTCAAACCTTGCTTATGACTATTACACTTTAACTGCAAGGGAAGAAGCAGATTTAGTTTTTAAGTGACTGTGGAACTCTTGTAAGGTATTTTTAGTACTTACCTGAAGAGTAATAGCTATATCTACTTACACAACACCAGCACTTAGAGGAAAACTTATTTTATATCAACTTACTTTTGGACAGAGCTAGTGAGCTTAGTCTGTGACCACAGATGAGCAGTCAAGATGTACTCTAGTAGTCTGACAGTAATGACAGGTGGTTGGAGGTGACCAGCACATGATATCATGTATTGTAAGGAACCTTCCCATGCTCTACAATATATAAGCAATCTTTATTTAGAAACTTGAGTGCTCACATTTAAGACAAAAACTAGAAACAAAAATGCACACACATCATTCATTTTTAGGACACAAATGCATTCACCTCAGTTTCAGATTACACCACAGGTATGATACCCTTTAGCAGCCCAGTGAGTTCATAGGCAGGTATCTCTGGGATATTGCACTGTTCAGTAAGATAGAACCACCACTGTCTCTTGTTATTGGAACAATGAGCTATAATTATGACAGACCATATCATAAAGGCCTTGAACAGACCTTGAATACTTACATCAATAGAGCTGGCCCACATGTAGTTATTTTTCAAGTACGTTAAGTATTCCACAACACCCAGCTAGAAGTCAAATAGATTTACGTTGCAATTCAAGATCAGTTCAAGATGATAACGAACCCAAAGGCTTTGTGTTCTTAATTGCCACTGGATTCCAAGACCTGCTCCTCCTCATTGTGTTACAGTAGTCACAGTACAAATCTCCTTGTTAGTCCAATGAGATTACCCTTGTTAAGACTGTATTCTGGATGGGGCAGCAACATCACTTTCTATCGTTGGGCAGCTTTGTAGAATTTGCTGTAATCCAGGGATGAACAAGAACATCCTTCAAGGGCAGCCGATGGAATGGGTTATGTTTCAGAAGCTTTGAAATTAAATCCCTTGCACCTTCTGTTACAAATAATGGATACTTGAATTCCACCTAAGAAAACAAGACAAAAGATGATGCAATATTCTTTGGCACTAATCAAAACTGGAGAGCAATAGGGTTCTGCCCCCAAGGTACAGAGAGCAAAGAAAACTATCAGTTCTGTGGGCTGTGTACCTTGTACCTAGTGAGTAATTTCATCACAATCCTGAATAAAACTGAAGGTTCTCACTGCTTGCCAAAGTTCAGCCAGTGTGCTTTTCTCTGTGCTCCCAACACAAAACCACTTTGGAACCTCTCAAGTTTACAGAACACTTGTAATCTAGAAACATAATTTATGTCTTTCCTAATACCTTGAATGATTAATATTTTATATACCAGAAACATGAAAGTAGTGAAGGATAGTGAAGAAGAATAGCTGCTATATGAAAAGGTAGGTGTTCAGATGCAGGTAGAAACAGGAGAGAACCAAGCAGCCAGGAAAGCCATCCTACTCTTCATTGTAATTCAACTGGAGTGACTTCAGGATAGCTTTAGGGATGTAGTTTTGCGTACATCTCATTATGTCTTTCCTTCCCTCAAGAGGAATATTAACCTTCAAGACAAGAAGTGAAACCAAAATTCAACTAGGTGAAGTTACAGCACATACCCTGGAAATAGCTCTGTAGGTTTCTTGATATGTTTCTGCTTCAAAAGGTGGCTTTCCTACAAGGAATTCATAGCACAGAACCCCCAAGCTCCAAATATCCACCTTCTCATCATGTGTTCTTCCCTCAATCATTTCAGGAGGCAAGTAGTCAAGTGTCCCACAGAGAGTTGATCTCCTGAAGAAAAGCACAGAGTACAGTGTATCATTTACCCTTTATGGCAGCTAAGATCTGTTTTAACTGCTAGTATTGGCATCTCGATTCAAGTGCTCTTATCTGTATCTCAGTGTAATCTGCCCCAGATAAACTCAGTATCACTGGAGTTTCATCAGTCACTTTTCTGGCTTTGCTTTAAAGTATTCTTGTCACTACAGGCAGTCTTATCCTTCCTTTTCCTCTCTCCCACTGGCTTACAAGTCAGTGTGACTTTCTTTGTCAGGTACAAATCAGACTAAGGAAATATTCCAATTATAGTGCTAGTGTGAACTATTTGGACAGAAGTTCTGATCTTCATCTCAGGGACCACCATAACCCTAAAACAGTGTGCTAATGCTCTTGTTCCAGGTTCAGCAAGTTTTTAAACACACAGATGGAGAAGCAGGATAACATTCTCTCTATGCTACATCAGTCAACTATTAAGACCTTGACAGCAGTGGTCCAATCATTAAACGCTCCCCACCAGTATTTCAGCAAGTGGACATTTACCTCCATTCCATAACTGTAAGTTTGGCAAGAAAGCTAAAGTTTTCATTACAGAATAATTTCTGTCTAAGGTATATACTGCATTCTCACCTAGAGGATGGAGCATGCACGGACCACCCAAAGTCTGCAATTTTTAATTCTCCATTTGAGCCAAGCAGCAGGTTTTCCGGCTTGATGTCCCGGTGAATCACACTCTTTGAATGACAGTATGACAGGGCATCTGCTAGTTCTGTAATGTACTGCAATTAGAAAGAAAACAAAACTATCAGGTATGAAGACCCTGACGCTCAAGCTTTACTAGCACAATTCCCTAGGCATAATTAGCAGTTTGGAGTAGAAAAATTGTTCCTTACACTCTCAAGCAACAGGTGTTGCTTGAAGTGACCACACAAATTGCAGTGCTGGGCAATGCTGAACATTATCCGTTAACACTGCAGTAGTTTGTCCTCCCAGCATATTCCTAAATAGGCTACAAGTGCATAAGCAAACTAGCATCTAAGGAGTTGGTTTCATGCAACTGAAAATGACTTTTTCTTGAAGAGCTAGCTTTATACTTCAGGTATGCTACACAGCAGCAAGCAGTCAGAACAACCTACAGTTGCAGTTCTTTGTTCATCGAATTTGGTAAGCTTCTGTAGTTCCTTGAAGACTTCTCCACGAGGTGCATACTCTAGAATAAGGTAGACTCTTGTAACGTCATGGAAGTAGCCGTACAGTCTGAGTATGTTGGGATGCCTGCAAGAAAATTGAAATGCCTTCCTGAACAAGGTATGTGTACAACTAATTATACATATAGGGCCTGTAATTTAACATTAATGCTACACAAGACAGCACAGTTCCAACTGCCATGTCCGTTTCTATGAGAGCTTCAGAGCACACAGACGGTATTTGTCATAGAAGTATCAGACTTGCTAGTAGCAAAAACCTAGCCAAGAATTCAGCTCATTTGTATTTTCTCATACATAGCTTTCTACACACAGAATAGATCACCGTTCAACACGCAAATATCTACAGTTCTCTGAACTTAAGCTTAAATACTTCAATTATTTTCTGTGAAACAGAATACCAGGGACAAGCCTAGACTGAGAAATTGCAGTCATCCACTTGGAAGAACTGGCCAGGTGCTTGACTTCTGTTTGGGTTCTTTTGGCCCATGGAGTGGTGGGGCAGGGGCAGAATGACAAGAAGCAGTTTCAAGTTGTCACATATTACAGGATTGCTTTTCTTCAGGTAAGATTACTTTGTTTTTTAAATTGAGCACAAACTAAGCAAAGGTTAACTGCTCACATTACCTGAGATGAGACTGTATTTCAACTTCTCTTCGTAGTTGATGTTCTACACCAGCATCCTCAAGCTGTGCTTTAAACAGCACCTTCAGTGCAAGAATAAATTTACTCTGCTTTTCACGTGCCAGGTACACATTTCCAAATTTTCCTTTCCCCAGAGGACGACCAATTTCAAAATCATCCAGAGACCACTGTCTTCTGCAAAAGGAGAGAATGTTACAGAAGCAATGCTTGGGTGTGACAGCAACGTTCCAGCTAAATACATAATTAGTGATCTCAGCTAGATTTTAGTCTTTAAAGGCACACCAAGCACCAAAACACCACCAAGAGGACAAAACATGCATTGAGATTTCTCTAAAGGCAGTTTTGAAAGCTTCTCTCTTGCTTCTAAAGCACATGCATTGAGGTACAGCTACTTACTACAACAAAACCAAAACTGTATAACAAAGTACATTTCAATATACTTGATACAGATCTATTCTAGACTGTCAGAACTGTTTCAAAGCAGCCATACTACAAGTGAAACTTGACTCAAGCCTCCTGCACACATGAAGAACACATTTTTCCAAGTGAACATCATGTGATTACAGCAGTGATTATCAGAGTTCTCTCATGGGAAAAGTTGCTCCTTGTTGAGCCAAAAGCTTTTCTTCGGATTACAGTAATTTACTGTTTCTGAAGATTACCAAAGCAAAATAACCATTCCCAGAGTTTCATTAATAAATATTGTCACTATGAAGTGAGAAGGCCACTGTTCTTAGCAGTCAAGAGACTAAAGACAGCAGCTTGGCTGCAACTTAGCTGTAGCATGAAGTGCTAGACACTGAAAGAATAACTTAGCTATAAGCTTTATAGGTGCACAACTTACTTTTTAGTCTCTTCCTTTTTCTTTTTAGTAGATTCTTCATTTTTCTGTTTAGAGGTGCTGTCTGCTTCAGAACTCTTTGCTGTACACAAACAAGTAGAACAACTTTATAAAACAGACCAGTGAACACAACACATTCACATGAAGAACAAGTCTGGGTTGTATCTACAGCAGTTTACAGTCCACCATCCATGATATTTAAAACTTAGTGTAGCTTACCATTGGCAAAGCAGCACAACAGTTAGGGCTACTTCATCAAAGTGTAACTTAAATGGTTTTTTGAAATCAATGAAAACATTAAGAAAGCTTCCCCCCACCTCCTCATTCCTGCTCATACAGTATCCTTGTGTATCAGATTACCATAAACATTGGAAAAAAAATGTGCTACAGGAACACCAATTCCATTTATTCAAAGTTGACTAATGTGCATCTGTAAATTTTCAAGATTGGAGAAACACTTATATGGGCTCTAAATCCCTAATCCTAGCAACAAGGACAGCGCAGTAACACCTAAGATGAAGTATGTGCTGCTTTTCTGTTTCTGGGTGCAACCAGCTATTTCTCTACAGGACTGCCCAACATAGCATGAGCTTTACATTTTCTGCACTGCACTCTTGTTTGAAGTATCCCAAGTGTCACAAACACATAAAGATGTAATCTTCAGAATTACCAGGTACAGGAGCTTGTTGAGGTTTTTCACTGTTCTTGCTTGGAACCTGAGGCCCAGCGGTTGGTTGGACTGGGAGTTTCGGCCGGGGCTGCTGTGCTGTCTGACTGTTGGACAGTTTTTGGTTTGACAGTGAAGAAGATTTTTGTGATTGTACAGGAACTCGCTGGGCAAAATTTGAAGGACACAGAACACGCTGTGGTTGAACTCCACTGTTCAGTGGCCGGCTCTGGGCAGAATTCTGAGACACAGGGACACGTTTTGGGCCATCTACAACAGGATTTGCTACCTTCAAAAAACAGCAATTGTACATTAGTAATAGAATAGCAAACTATAACCTTTATGTCCCTGTACAATAGAGTTAGGAATAGGTTGTGAAAAAAGATAGGCAGGAGAAAAAAACCAACAGTATATTAAAAGGAGATCTTAAAATTACTCTGATCTTATATTTTAAGAATTCAATTGACCTGTAGAAATCTGCTGTCTTGTTAACAACATGCTTATTCATAATTAGTCATGGACCCACGAAAGTCCAGATATTGGTGGAAAGTTTAGACAGGTCTTTGCTACAGGAATTCTATTCGCATGCACTGCTTTGAGCCACTGCTCCCTTGAATGCTGTGCATTTTAAGATGCCTTGCACTGCAACAGGAGTTCATCAGACCAAAGCAAGTTTGGTACGGTTCCTTTATCTGCTTTTAATCCTTTTCTTTCAGTTGAGGAAGGTGGTTTAAATTTATATTTAAGCAATTCTTAGTTGTTCCAGAATACTTTGCTTAGAATTAAATTCAAACACTGTTAAGTGATGCCTTGACTCCCCTAAGAACACCTACGTTCTAGTTTTTTGATTCAATGCGTTGAAAGCCGATTTTAAACTATGCTTTACTTCTGCTACTCTAAAATCCGACCAGGATCTGTTCATATTGAAGTTACAAGAATGAGAATGTCCCTGCTTCTGTGTGCAAAGATACGCAGTCTTAGACACGTGAATAACAGCATGAAGGCAGCATTTCCTTTAGAAATCACAGCCAGTTCCCTGCACGCATTTGCTATCTAATTAAGGGATTATGGATAAAAACTGCACTATTAAGACTTGCCAATTAAAAAACTGCAGTAAGAAGTTCAGACTTGGACACTGTCCTCTGCAACAAACAGGCTGAAAGGCCATGTTGATAATTGCTCGCTGTGCATAGAAAGCATCGCTCAGAGCTTCTTCCTCCTGTCTGCCACTTAGCAAAACCAGTCACCATCATCACACCTTGAGACTCACAGGTTTTGTACAGCCGCGAAAAATACACCCGTAAACTCTGTCAGCCCCTTACCTTAGCAGCGCGAGACGGGTTTCCAGGACAGTTTTCTTTTATCTTCTTGTCCATAGCGCCTGAGAAAGGCAAGATGCGGTTTCGCCTACGGAGCGGGCAGAGGACGGGGTGAGCCGCGCAGACAGCACCATTCCCCGGCTCCACTCTCCCTCTGCCCCCTACGCCATCCGCCACAGCCCCGTAACCTCCCGTAACCTCCCGCCGGCCAGGCCGCCCCCGATGCAGGAAGGTCGCTCCACGCCGCAGCACCGCCCCGAACGCCACACGACCCCCCTCACCTCGGCCTCCGGCCGCTCCGACTGTTTGAATTCAAACCTCCCTCCCTTAAATACCCTTTAAACTACCGCCCCCTCACCATTGGCCCCTCTCCCGGCGTCCGCGCCCGCCGATTGGCTGCTTTTCAGTCGACGCGCCCGCCGATTGGCTCTCCTAAAGCTCCGCTCGTCGCGAGGCCGAGACTCATCGCCGTGAGCTGGCGGAGCGCATGCGCAACGGCAGCCTGCTGCGTACCCGCGTCGGCCCGACCCGCCCGCCCCAAGGGCGGTGTTTGCGCTACATGCGTATTTTACGTACCGTCTCTCCGCCGCTGGCTTCTTCCGTACTCCAACTGCGTGGATCGAGCCCCGCTTACACACTTTTCTCCGCAAGTCTCTGCCCGGCCGGGTCTTTCGTTACGCAAATCGCGTACGTCCAGACCACCCACCTGTGGCAACGCTACAACTACCGTTCCTTCCTCGCAGCCGCGGAGGCCTTGCAGCGCGCCGCCGGCGTCGGGGGGAAGGGCTCCAGGTTAGTCCCGCATCTCACCGGGCTCCGACCTCGTCCCCCTCAGCAACCCGCACGCCCACCCGCAGCCCGAGGCCAAGGGAGAGGCGGTGCCGCCGGCTCGCGTGAAGCCGAGCTCGAACGGGGGCTCGGGGCCATCGCGTCCTGCCGGCGAGGCAAGGTGCGACGGGTGGCAGCGCCGAGGAGCAGCGGGAGGGCTGCGGCAGGCCTCTGCCTCGCACCGGCAGCACTGTGTGGCACTGCTCCACGTGCCCTCGGCTCTTAAGGACAAGCGCGAAGGGGACGGCCGCCCTCCTCGGCACTAGGGGACGCCCGGCCGGAGCCCAACGTCGTGTAACGGCGCTGCCGGCTCGCAGCTGTCAGCGGTACGCGGCGCCCTGAGACGGGGCTGAGCGCTCGGTGCCGCTCGTGAAGCGCGAAGGAGCGCGGGGCGCTGCGCTGTCGCGTGGCCCCGCTCGCTGCGGTGCCGGGACCTCCGCCGCTCGGTGCGACACGTGCGGCCTCTGAAGAAGTGTGATTGAAGGCAACTTGGCTCTGCGTCCTTAACAACCAGCGCGAGGGCGGTCCCGGTGTGTTGGTGTTTGACAAGCGGGACACGATAGGTAAAAAGAAGATGTCGGGTCGTCGTGTGGCTGCCGCGTGTGACCGACGCCAGCTGCCGCGGGGCATGGGGAGCATGGCGGCCCCGCTCCTCGACCCGCGTCCACTTCGGCTGCCGTTTCTGGAGGCTGACGTGAGTAGGGCAGGGCTGCGGGGAGGGCGGCAGTGGGGCAGGAGCTCAGCCTGCGGGACCTGGAAGCAGGGCGGCCGGCCGTGCCGGCGGCCCGAACCGTTCGCGAGGCCTGCGGCACCGGGCGGCAGAGCCAAGCGTTCGTTTCTCAGCCCCGCGTCGGGTGTTGCGGTGTCCCGGCGGCTCCAGACGGGCGCCCCGCGGCCCAGACACAAAGACCCTCGGCGCCCAGCCGCTGACGCTCTTAGCAGCCGGCCCCACACTCCGACGGGAGGCGCGGGGCGGCCCTACACGCGTCCGCGGGCCGCTGTCCGCCCCGCCCGAGCCGTCGCCCCGCCGGCTGCAGCTGGGCCCGAGCCACGCGGGGAAGGGGCGGCGGACTCCCGGTAACCCCGCGGGGCGCCGCGCCCGCAGCCCGCCCCTTCCCCGCCGGGCGGGGGCTCACTTCGCGCGTCGCGCGTCACGTGACGGGGAGGGGGCTTGCCAGCGGCGCGGCGCGCACGTTAGGCGTCACTGCTCACGTGACGCCGCCGTTCTCTCCCCCAAGAGTCGCCTCCAATCGATTTGCGGGCGCTCGATGCAGCAGCCTTCGCGGAGGAGCATTCTTCGGTCTCGGCCGCCGCCGCCGCCTCCTCCCTTACCGCCGCCGCCGATCGATGCGCTCAGAGCTCCGGTCGCCATTTTAGGGGGAGAGCGAGGGAGGCAGAAGGAAGGCTCGGTAGGTACCGGGCGGCCTCGCGCCGCTCTCCGCGTTCGGCTGCGCGGCCTCGGCAGCGCCGCGCCCTCCCTAACGGCCGCTCGGCGCCGCCCGCGCTCCCCTGCCCGCCGCGCTCCCGCCGGGCGCCGTGCCCGCCCTCATTCGGCCCCGTTCCCACACGCCCCCTCCCGCTCCGGTCGTCGCTCCCCGGGCCGGGCGGGGCTGCCGCTGCCGCTCGGGCTTCGCACGTTGCTCGTGCCCCGCTCCGTCCCCCTGCTCCCCGCCCACCTGCCTGCTGCCAGTGGGGCGCGATGGGCGCTACCGACCCGATAACCCCGCTCACCGGAGCTGTTTTTTTTTTTTCTTCTTTATTTTATTTTATTTCATTATTTCTCCGTCGCTCCTTAATATAACTCACATTCTTTTTATTCATCGGGTTTTCGTTTCTGCAATAAAGCCGCACCGGCTTTCTCCTGTTTCCTCTGTCTTTCGCTTCTCGGTCTCTGTCTTACCTAAACTTTCGGTGCTGTTAGCACTGATACCCGGCAGGATGCACTTCAATTAAAGGCTTTAATTGTTTTGTGCAACTCTCTGGTGTGTGACTTTTCCCATTTGTTTATTTCAGGCCCCTCCAAGGCATTCCTTGCTCACAATGTATAGGACAAAAGTCAGCTTGAAAGACCGTCAGCAACTTTATAAACTAATCATTAGTCAGCTACTGTATGACGGATACATAAATATTGCCAATGGCTTAATAAATGAGATAAAACCACAATCAGTGTGTGCGCCATCTGAACAACTGCTGCATCTTATTAAATTAGGTAAGCTGACATTTAAAAACAAAATAACTCCTCCAAAGATTGTGCTCCCAAATGTTTGGATTAAACGTTTGTGGATAGTGTAGTGTTACTCAGAATGCATCTCTTCTGTTTTCTACGCCTTTGTAGTAAATCGCAAAGGTTTTATATCTTTAGTCTGTTCAGTGACTCGCAGGATCACTGCACATTTAATAGTGTTAGATCCATTACTAAGGCACAACTCTCTCTGGTTGCTCCTGGACGTGTTGAAGGGGAGGGAATAAGTCCCTCTATTGGCCCCATTCATTGGCCTTTTTATACCACTCTCAAGAAAACAAGTTTCACGGTCTATGATCTTGGCAAAGGTGTGTTTCCTGTTCCCTCCATGCTTCTTTGTGAAAGTACGTATGTGCTGCAGAAAGCCCAGAGTTCCTGGGCTGCTGTTGAAACAAGTCACCTGGATTACTGGAACAGTCCTAACCATGACAACGTGTTTTCTCTGTATTGTAACTGAACTGGTTCTGCTGCTTGAACTAGTTGATTTCTGTGGGTATAAATGTGGAGCCTCGTCTGTCTGAAAGAAGAATACTGGGCTTTGCAGTCTGTAGATGAAAGCAGGAAAAAACATTTCTGTGAAAGTCGCTAACTGCAAGTAGGCACTTAGTTTAAAGCATTTGTGCCTTGGTGCAGTTTGCAGTGCTGAATTGGCTTCATCATGTAGATGCATGTTGCAGTCAAAATGATTCTTTAAGGTGGGTTTGAATTAATAATTTTTGTGAGTAGTGTTACGATAGTAGTTTGTGTTGCTCTTTCAATTCAGTTAAAAAGAGAGTAATTGGTAAATGCTTCTATTTTTTCCACTTTAAATCTCATGTAATAGCACTGAGTCTTCTTTCACCCTATTGTAACCTGATTATGGGCATGTCAGTGACTTCTGTATGTGATTGTTTAGCTGTTAGTAAGTAATCAGTACTTAATACCATCCTATATTTAGTGGTTATCTCACCACAGTTACACCAGTGCTGAACGCTAAACAGCTTTTAGTCAAACTGCTTTTCACTCTTAATGATAGATATTGCTATACTACAACTAAATCTGTTCTGCTAGCTTAGCTTTGTTCAACGTGGGCTGTCTCTTAAATCCTGAACTTGAGAGCTGCCAAAGAAATCTGTAGTTTAGGTGTGGGCATAGCCTGCCTGTCTAAAGAGGAGGTAAGCCTGGTTTAAGAATGTCAACTTTCTCTTTTCAGGGATGGAGAATGATGACAGTGCTGTTCAGTATGCAATTGGGCGGTCAGATACAGTAGCTCCAGGCACTGGAATCGACTTGGAATTTGATGCAGATGTACAGACCATGTCTCCTGAGGCCTCTGAGTATGAGACTTGTTACGTCACGTCTCATAAGGGGCCGTGTCGTGTAGCAACATATAGCAGAGATGGACAGCTAATAGCTACAGGATCTGCTGATGCCTCAATAAAAATTCTTGACACGGAGAGAATGCTGGCCAAAAGTGCTATGCCTATTGAGGTAAAATATGACTTGAATCACAGTCACTTTGTCAGTTCTTGGGCTGCTCTCTCTGTTTCGTGCCATGTCTGTGCCTTGTGGCTGGCTCGGTGGGCTGGACTAAATATCTGTCTCGACGTGTTTCCTATTCCAGCAGTGGCTCATAAAGCACCCTTGAAGAAAAGGAAGAAAAAACAGGGCGAGTATACCTGTGTAACTCCTCACAGCATTCTAGAGAGCCGAGACAAAAATTGCTTCTAATAGTTGTTGATAATCTCTATAACCATGCAGACAGTTTGGTTATGGACCTACCTTCACATCTGACTGTACAACGCATGGCTCTGCTTCAGTACTTTTTCACGGAGTTCATATTTGCTTCCTTTACTTTTTCTCTAATACACTTATCTGGCAACAGCTTAAGAGTTCTGGGTTTGTCGTTTTTTTCCCCACTGAGTGCACACCAAATTCCCAGCAGTATGCAACATGAGTGAAAGTTGCAGTTTTCCCAGTTGGTACCTGCTTCCCTTAATTAGTGTGGCAATAATGTCTTTTGATTTGGACTGTTCACAAAGGTGATGTATGTAAAGGCATCAGTTCTCTGTGGCTGACAGTAGTTTGTCCTTGAGCAGATCCAGTAACCTTTGTAAAGATACAGGGATGTTATTTCATAAGAATTTATAACTGTGTGAAGGTATCACATCTTCAGATAATTAAGATCAGTGATAATGTGCCAAGTCATATGTCAGAAAAGGTAGCGATACGATCACTGGTGCGAGTGAAAATGGTAAATTTCCTGTCAAAGGAGTGTTCTGCCTTCTAACAGTGGCTTGTTCAATGTTCTTTGTAGGTCATGATGAATGAGACAGCACAGCAGAACATGGAAAATCACCCTGTTATTCGGACTCTGTATGATCATGTGGATGAGGTTACATGTTTAGCTTTTCATCCTACAGAACAGATCCTAGCATCTGGTTCAAGGGACTACACACTTAAATTGTTTGACTATTCAAAACCTTCTGCCAAAAGAGCCTTCAAATACATACAGGTTAGATACAATAGTTCAATTCAGAGCAACCAAATCTTGCATGTGTGATTATTGAGGTATCAGTGAGCTGAATTGCATCTGGGTATGTAAGTGTATGGAGTATGCAGCTACAAAATGTTCAGACCTGGTTATGCACTGTGAGTTTGTAATGGATAGCTATAGTCATAGAATCTTGTGCCTGTTGGCTTTTTGTTAATTCAGACCTAATCTAAAATGGATGACTCTGAAGTCAGCTACGTTTTCTTGGTTCTGGAGGCAAAGTTTGTGATTATGTGGTGGCTGACAAAACCTCCTGCTGCTGTTGTGCAATATCCAACAAATAGGCACAGCAAGCTGCTCTAGGAGAGAAACTATGATACGTTTCAGCGTGGCCTGTCACTTAAATAATACACAGGGCATTTTCTATGCTGTAAAAATAGAACAGGTTGTGCTAATTGATAATGCAGTTTTATTTTTTAGTGCCACCACGATTGACACTTTGATTTTTGTGTTTTGTTTTTAAACTTACACCAATTATGTCTTTTTTGCTCCAACAGGAAGCAGAGATGTTGCGCTCCATCTCTTTCCACCCCTCTGGAGATTTCATACTTGTGGGTACCCAGCACCCTACTTTGCGACTCTATGATATCAATACTTTCCAATGTTTTGTGTCTTGCAATCCTCAAGACCAGCACATCGATGCCATATGCTCAGTGAATTACAACGCAAGCGCAAACATGTACGTGACGGGAAGCAAGGATGGATGCATCAAACTGTGGGATGGTGTTTCAAACCGCTGCATCACTACTTTTGAGAAGGCACATGATGGAGCTGAAGTCTGTTCTGCTATTTTTTCCAAGAATTCAAAGTATATCTTGTCAAGTGGAAAAGACTCTGTAGCTAAACTGTGGGAGATATCTACTGGTCGGACGCTGGTCAAGTACACAGGTACGTGGCAGCTGACCTGCCAGGGACCACCTTTGTCGTGTGCTGACCAGTGAGCAGGTGGTGGTGTCTGTCTGAAGAGTAAGATCTGTCACTGCTGAATAGTAACTCATAAGGGGGGACTGCTTTTGTGAGGATAAATGGCCCCAAATTTGAAAATGTGAAATACTTCCAGAAGAAAAGCTATGTCAGTGTCAACCTATTTACTCTAGCTAGAGCTTGGACACATAACTGACATCATTACACTTTTGGAGGGAAGTCATCACCAGACTAGAGAAAAAGTAAATAGGAATGTGGATCCCTTAAGGAATAGAATGCTTGTGGAGAGAATTTCATTTTCTAGTTTTTCTTGAACATTATTTTTTAAAAAAGCATAATTGCTTTTCTTGTTAATGTTCACTTTAGTTTGGGGGCTCACCAGTTTAAGCTGCACGCCTAGTCTAACCAAAAATGGAAAAGTCAAAAATAATGTGTAATCCTTTTGGAGTTAGAGGAGTCCACTTGCCTGGATTGTTGCCCAGACTGTAGGGGAATTGAACTCTTTTGAACTACCTACTAATTGAACTACCACTGGTTTGGATGTGTGCAGTCTTTGTGCACTGGCTGTGTTTGCTGCCAACCAGCAGGGTGCAGCACCTCCTCAGTAAACTCTTGCAAACACCAGGTAGGATGCAGCGATGTATTCCTTGCAAAATAAATGCGTGAGTGGGTAACACATCCCCTTTGAAGGGAGGAGGAGAGGTGTGGCTGAAGTACATTGTGTGGCACATTGTGTGGCCTGCACATTAAAAGCAGAAGTTACTAATGATAACAGGAATCTGTGTTTATCAATAACTGTGGTCTTCAGTTAGTTAGCTGTAAGCCTTGTACAAAAGATGTAAGGTTACTGCTCTTAATGTTTGCATTCATGCTGACTGGCTGTGTGTACAAGTGGAATGCTTAATCCTTCTATTCCCTAACATGTTCTGCCCTATACAGTGTAGATAATTACAAGAGGATATCTGTAGTTGCTTTACATGTGTACTAACTGAGGAAATAAGGCTCGGTAATAGACTTCCCATAACTATCAATTGCTGTAGTTTACTTCTGGATCCTTGGGAAAAAATCTAAAGATCTTATTTGGCTTGTATTTCACTGCATGTATTTAGGAGCTGGTTTGAGTGGACGTCAAGTGCACAGGACACAAGCAGTCTTCAACCACACAGAAGACTACGTGCTGCTGCCAGATGAAAGGACCATAAGTCTCTGCTGCTGGGATTCAAGAACTGCTGAGCGAAGAAATCTCCTTTCTCTTGGGCACAACAGCATCGTCCGCTGTATTGTCCATTCTCCCACCAACCCCGGCTTCATGACCTGCAGTGATGACTACAGGGCTAGATTTTGGTACAGGAGGTCAACGACGGACTGAGGGCGTCTTGATAAAAGAATGGTTATCCAGATTCCTTATATCATCCTGTATTGATTGTACTGCCGACAGATGCCTGAAGGAGAGCTATGCTGTGTCTGTTTTTTGTTGTTTTGTGCTTTAATTCTGTCAGATGGCAGAAAAATATTGAGATACTGAAACTTCAGTTTTGCCCCACGCTAATTTTTTTTATTAGTGTGCGTGGCATTAATTTTTTTAAGTCATCTCTGATTTTACTCGAGCTGGGGTGCGGAATAAAATGATCCTTGCAGGAAGGATTAAACTTACTCTCCTGTCTTTCTGAATCCTGCGAAAGATAATGTGACTAAATCTTGCTCAAACTGGGCAGTGTGAGCCAGTTTTGCTCTGCATTGTATCTGTGCAATCCCCCTAAAGTCTGTTTAAAGAATGGATTACACGAGCAACGGTAGAACTCAGTGAATGTTTTAGTGAAGCCTTAAGCCGTCTTCAGTTCTGATTCATGCTTTGAAGCTCTTTTATATCTTTCAGTCTCCTTCCCTCAGTTGGCCAAGCGGGCCTCTGATTCTGAGTCAGTTTGGTGCCATAAGGATTTAAAACGTGGTTTTAAATTGTTCAGATGAATTGAAGAAATGGTGTTCTAGTTCTGATATTAAAGTTCAGACTTGAAATCTTGTCTTCTTTACAATTTATCTTAAGTGTAATCTTAAAGTAAATTCAAGGAATATTCACACTGAAGCTATTAAATGTGGCAGTGCTGCAGCATATGAAAGTGAGAATAACCTGGCAATAGGAGCTGTTTAGTAACTCCTCTGAGAAATGTCAGTTTTCTTCATATATCTATGTCAGAAATGTCAGTTTGCTTCATTTAGTTCACATTCTGTCTGTGTGTCACACAGCAATTGAGATATTTTTTGAATTTAAAAACAGGCTCATTGTTTCTTCTGCCTGCTGTGTCTGATAGTCTGAGTTTCCCAGATCTTACTGTATTCATTAGAAGTACAAATCAGCAAGAAATCTGTGGTTAAAACTTCTGTACATTTGAAAATTCACTACATGTTCTTATAGGTGAGGTTTGATATCCGGTCTTTGCAGTTTTAAGAGTGTTCATTCAGGCATTCTATCTGCAGCATAGTGGTGCAGTGCTGTTCAGATTCACTTTTGGGAATGAATTTCCCTTAGACATAAGCTCAGCACTTGCTTTCATTATATGTATGGTTGTTTATTGATGTTGGGTTAACTTTCCATTGCCACTGAGTGTCTTGTCAAGGGCTGATGAGGATGCAGGTTTTGTCTATATATAAATAAAGATGATCTTTTAAAAAATTATTTAATATATAAAGAAGGAAGTGTGTTAGTTTTCTATATAGAAGATTGTAAAAGTACCGGAAGGATTTGGGATGTGTTACAGTCTGAATCGCTCTGTTGCACCGCATTCGAATCAGGCAGTTGCAGACCTGCAGTGGTGAATGTTTCAGTTTTGTTGTTCTTCTGAATTTAATATTCTTAAACAGTACAGCAGTACAGAACCAATTTATTAGACTCAGTGATTTTCTACATCAGTTGTCTACAACTTTAGATGCACAGGAGGTGGTGGGTTCTGCTGGCTGCTTTGGTGAAGGAACAAGGAGAGCCGATGGGAGGGAGAAGGGAAATGATGACACAGCTATGAACACGCTGTCCTTGCTCAGCAGTCAGCCCTCTGGTACCAGCACCAGTGGGCTAAACTGGGAGCAGTGGGAGCTGTTTATTAAATTGAAGTGTTTCTGGTAAAGCAGCTGTCTGTAAGTAACTCATTCGCTGTGCATCTTTGGGCTCTTCTATTTTCGAAGCAGTGTTTTGTATATTAAACCATGGCTGAAGTTGTTAAGTTAGCAGTGTTGTAGCTTTCACTTCAGACTTCCTTAATTCTGTATGAAGTTGGTTTCCTTGTTTTTCTCTTGAAACAGAAGTAGAGATGTAGGAGAAAACATCCTGAAATGAGCTCCTGTGCTGTTGTCTTTTAGCAGTACTGTAGTGAGAGATGATGCTCACAGAGAGAAAACTGGCATTTGGCTGCAGGATGTTCGTATTGATTTCATTAAAATAGTTTGATTTCCATAGGTATTTACAAAAAGTGGCCTTGCTTTTCCCAGTAAAAATAAGTTATTTACTAAGCTAGTTACTGTGTTTCGTTACTTAAGTAGATTACCTGAAAAATCCAAGAGCTATTGGAGTGAAGTGGCTCAGGGAGCAGCTTGGATCCAGCAGTACAAAACATAAAGAAAAAGCAAAACCATTTTGGTTCAGGCTTCAGACTGAGTAAGATGTCTTCTACCTGAAGTAAAAATGTTTGTATGCAGGATATAATTATATAAAAGGGCAAGTGGCCTGAATCAAACTTGAGTTTGGGGAGCTGAACCAAGAGCACGGAAGTAAGATCTTCAGTCTGGATCAAAAGTTTAGAGTCAGTGAGGAGGCAGTCAAGGTTAGGATAGATAATCTCTAACTGCTTCTGTTTCCCTTCCATCATCCAAGGACAGGAATGTTTTTACTCAAGTTTCAGAGCACTGAAGTTGACCAGGCAAAGTGAGCTTGGGTCTTTCAGAACCAGTCCTGCCTGCAAGCAGGCATGTTCACAAGTGTGTCCAGAGGAATGACCTTTGCAAGGATGCTGTTTGTTGTTGCCTTGATGCTCTTAAAATTCTCTGTTAATGAAGTTGGGGAGAAAAAGAAACAACCCTGCTCCAATATTTGGAATGCTCTTAACATGAGCTTTGTAAAGGAAAGCAGTTTTTAGCACGTTACCTGCTGATAAGTGTTAGGTAGTACGGGGCTTTTGTTGTACTCAGCACTGCTGAGAGTAGTCAGCTCAGTGGATCACAGTTCTTGCTAGCAGCTTCAGAACAGCTCTGTTTATTTTCAGAAGGGGAAGAAAGATTACAGCCCAGTTCTGCAGCTGTCTTTGACCTTGGGGGAACCTGTTTTGAAACTGCTTTTCCCTGATACTTTCAGACAAGTGTGAAGCAAGTCTCACATTTGTGGGTTAATGCAGTAGGTGTAGAGAGCATCCTTGCTGATTTTCCTTGATTACAAAATGCAAGCTTGGTAAACTCGTTAGATTGGAGAAAGCATCTGTTTCTGACTCTCTTAACCATGCATACTCTTCCACTTTTCTACTCTTCATCTGTTTTTTCCTTGAGTTGAGTGCAAATCCATGGGGGTAGCATGAGATACGGTGGGAGGGGACGTGGGTGTTATGTGAAAGCCCTCTGTGGTGTGCTGAGTGCTGCTGGTGCTCAGATAGCAGAGTGCTACGGCACATGGATGCCTGCCTGCTCCAGGTATGGGACATACCATGTTACCAGCACAGTCATTAGCTGACCATCCTCCTGTGGTTTTCAGATATTCTTGTGAGACTAGCAAACTTTGCTATTGCCCCGTTTTTAAGCTCTTTGTTCCTCAGAGATTAAGGGCAGCTCTTCTTTCACCTGAAAGAGGAAGCAAATGTATAAACAAGCTCTTGGCAACCAGAATTCCTGCCTGAGATTGCGAGCTGCCCTGGGTTCGAGCACTTGCCAGTGAGAAAGCAGTGACCTGCTGCCCTTCTGAGGAGAAGGGATCTTTCCTTGGGCAGATAACTTCTGCTGGGGGACATTGCTGACTGATGGATGTCGATTTCTTCTCTTGCTCTTGCAGTTTGGGCAGCCCTTCATTTGACAAAGGAATGCTTTATTCTCATCTGTAGCTCTCAGTAACTATGTCCTGCCATGCTCTTCCACTCAGACCCAGCACTGGTTGTATCTCTGCAGGAGAGCCTCCATCCCCTGCTGAAGGTCAGTTGTATCCACCCGGCAGATCACCCCTCCTGCCCATTCTGTCTGTCGTGGACAAGTGCTGAGGTTGTACCACTGCACTCCTGAAAGCAGAGCAGCTTTAGAGGCAAGCCACAGTTGTGGATTTGTACCTTTTGGGCTTTAACACTGCTTGGGGTGCTGACTTGGCAACCAGCAGCTGACACACGGCTCTGGGGATGGCCTCTCTCACAGGGATGCTGCTGGAAATCTGGTTTGCCACTCGTTGATGCTTCCCACTTAAAAGAGGGTAGTGGCCTGGGACAAATGTTTCTCCTGCATACTGTCTTTCTGCTAGAAGTACCCTATGAATTCCAGTAAAACTGGGTAAGCTAGGGGTAAACTATAGCTCAGGGTGGGAGGTTGTGTATGTGACTGAAAAAAATCCTCCAGTGCTGCCACAGAATCACTCTGCTCTGCCCAGCACGGTGCAGGACAGGATGCAGTTTGAATGCACCAGGCTCTGGGCAGTGAGGAGGAGTCATCGCCATAGAATTCACCCTCATGTAGGGTAATGCTTAAGGTTCTCTCAAAGCCACTTTTATATGACAACAAAAATTATAATGGAGTGCTTTAAATACTGAGACAGCTTTGAAAAGCGTGAAAACATTGGCTTAGGAATCCTGAACTGGTACGATTGTGGCAGCCTTCCTTCTATCACAGGCTGTGCAGCCTCTTGTGGCGTGGAGTATTCTTGTGTTTGTTACACTTCTAAACAAAGAAATACGGGAACAGGCAGCAGAAAAGGAGGGTGACACTTCTGGCTGTGGTTAATTGCTGCAAGCTGGTGACAGTTCAAGGAAAATTCCGCTTGCAGACAGACTTTCTCTCAGTTCTTGGTGCTGGTCGACTTTTCCTGCTTTGTTTTGTTTTCTTTTCCACCTTATCTGCTGTCACAGAAACCGTATTTCATGAGAACTGCCTACACACATCATTGCTGGGTGCTGTAAGGGCAGGGCGGTCAGAGCTGCAGGTCCCACACACAGAGACTGCGCAGCGCCGGGGCTCCTCTGCACCGCACTGAGAGCTGCTGCTGGGTGACAGCACCGGTGTGAGCATGAGAAGCAGCCAAACTGCAAAGGTACGTTGCTTTGGGTTGTCTGAGCAAGGAATAGAAGTGAAAAGATAAGGTCTAGTGCAGGTTTTGATGTTTGGTCTCAGCGTGAGGGTTGGTGATGTTGGAGGTGTTTGATGCTCTCATCTTGGGCAGAGCGCGTTGGGATGTGTTGTGCTGGGTGTCTGTGCTTTAATTGTGTGACAATAGCATTAATGGGAAAAAGGTTGTCATGGGGAGAGCTCCAAAAGAAGCAAGATTCCCAGTAATGACTGCCTGTGAATAAACACAGTGTGGAACAATAGATTCCCCTGCTTTGCTGCTCTGTGATAAGTTGTGTACACTGTATGTTGTTACAGCTGTATGGGGAGCTCCAGACATCCTATTGCAGATAATTTCCCTATGTTACAACAAAACAGAAAAAGATTTGAAGTGCTCTCTTTGGGTTTTGTTTTTCGAAAGAAACAATCTGCAAGGTTTTTCACGTGCCTCTGTGTATTCATGTTGTCCTAATACGTTTTTAATAGACATGGATAAAAGTTTGCTGCTGTAAGGTCAGAGTACTGAAGTCTTAATTCCTTATTTGGCGCTTTGATTGTCTGACGAGTGGTGTAACAGAAGGATCTTTCAACCCACTGACGATGGTCCCAGTGTTGACTCTAAATAAACTGCAGCCTGGTACAGAGAATAGCAAGGGAAATGAGTTGGCGAGCAGCTCAGTGAGCCATGGGCTGCGCTCAGCATTTCCACTCAGACATGCAGCAGTGGCAGAACAATTTCTTACGTGAAGTCACCAGAGACTGTTGCATGACATCTATTCCAAGAGCGTTTATTTCTGGGTGAGTTATTTCGAGGTTTCCTACATGGCCTGTTGAAATCAATGTGATGGCAGCACAATGATTTGCAGTGCTGTTCAAACTCCTTGGACACAACCACAGCATACCCAGCCAAATCCAGGGGAAATAACAACTAGAAGAAGTCAGATTTCTTTCTGCTGTATCATTTATACACTATTTATAAGGGAACATCAGGCAGAACTGTTCATTATAATATCTGAATGCCATTCTGAGTACAGAAGTGGTGTTTTTCCCACTCTCTAGACTTGCTGAAGCACCAGCAGTAGTGTTCCTTTGCCCGGCAGCGCTCCATGCTTGCTCTGTGCCCCGGCTCTTCCACCTTCACATAGATAATCATTCCTGAAGATGGATTCAGGGTAGGATCACACCCAGAGGAATGTGGGATTTCTCTCTCGTTGCACCTGCAGCATCGTCCGCACAGGAAATATTGCACATCTTGGTGCAACTTACAACGCAGTTAGCATGGTAGGCTGTGCTTGGGAAATAGCTCTCTCACTGCTTGGCAACATTTTCTGTGCTTTTGCCAAAAGAAAACCAGGGGCATTTCTTAAACACGCATGAGGTTAATCTGAAATCTGCCCCTCCATCTGAAATGCTCAGCTCGTGTCTTCCTGTGTCATCCACAACCAGGTGCACGGAGATTGGGTTCTGGGAGCTCTGCCACTCGGGAATACAAAAACCCACAGCCACACATCCCCATTTCAAACCTGGGAGACCACCGGGCTCTGCTCACTGTCCTGGGGCTGCACTGGGCTCACCCATGGCCCCACTCCTGGGGGTGCCATGCTGACACTGCAGGGACCCACCTGGCATTGGCTCCAGGCAATGTTCAGTTCTGTTTAATATTTTGTGGCCACAAGTTGCAGCACTGCTCTGTGTATTTCTGGGAGCCCTTTCTAGAACCCCAGGGCAGTAAATGAGCAGCTGCTCTTTACTGCCTGCACCAAGTATTCAGAGGAGGTACAGATGAGTTACTTCGTGCCAGGATTCCCTCTCCTTGGGATAACTGCAGCAACTGCTGCTCTGTTCCAAGCCCCATCCAAAAGTGTAAATTTTGTTGATAAGGCATTTTCAATTCAACTTTTCTATCTGAGATGTGTGGCTTTTCTAGTGAAGTGATTGTGGCTGCAGGAGTGCCTGATTTTATCTTGAAGCTGCTGTGGAAGGAGGAAGGAGAACTGCAGCCAAAGAAAAGCAGTGATGTGAATGAGCCCGCAGTAGTGAAACCTGTGTGTTTGCTTGGGCACAACTTGCTGAGTGAATGGCGGTGATGGATGATTTTAAACAACACTCCTGTTTGATAGCATTGAACAGCTTTTAATAATTAAAGAAGCATGCCCTTTCACCCGCAGTTAATGGTTAGCTTTAATGGTTAGTTTTGCTCCTCGCCTTTTCTGCTTCTAAAGAAGCAGGTGATTATTTTGCAGCCACTTCCCCAGTTGTAGAGGAGATCTCAGGTTTTGAGGAACACAAACTTGAAAATTACAAAGTAGATGGAGACATTTGGAAGTACACAAGAACAGGAGGAAAAGATGACACTACAAAAACACCATGAAATCAAACAAATCCGTTTCTGGTTCATCCCCACTGCCCCCGTCGGCCAGCCAAGATTCAGCTGTAAGACAGAAAGGCATTTCCCAGGGGATGAGGGACATCTGCGTGCCCTGTGCCAGGCCCCATTACAGCAGCAGCTGCAGGCCAATAGCACATGCAGATAATTGTGCTACGTAATTAGCTCCCTCCACTCCCAGCAGTGCTGTGCTCGGGGCTCCCAGTGGTGCAGAAGGAACAGAGCTGCTCCTGGGTTCAGCAGTTTCAGTCCTGCTTAGGGGATGGAGTAGTGGAGGTGCCAAAATGAAGGTCAATGTAAGTACTGGATTATCGTATTTCTGGGGCATTTAATTTAACTGTGTGGTTTATCGTATTGGTGGTGGAAGTGTGTTTATGTGAGACCTGCATCTGGCAGAGCTGCTTCTCAGTGTGTGCTGCTGCTCCTGTTTCCAGGTTACTGTCAAAGTGTGTGGTTTGAACTCTTGAAACACAGTGTGAGTTGCCTGGTGCAGTGGTTGGCAATCCTGCTTGGGGCGGGGGTTGGAACCAAATGACCTCTGAGGTCCCTTTCAACCCAACCGTTCTATGATTCCATGAGTTCAGCTGAAGAAATGCCTCTGAGAAGAGCAGCAGTAAGGCTGATAAGAGTGAGGTTCTGTACCACGAATACTGGGCAGTAATGTGCCGGCTAGAGGGCTGTAGGGATGCCCTTTGCCCTCGTTGTTTCCTTGGAAATAATTAGCATGGGGAACTGAAAGTTGAGTATTACTTCAACAGAAGGAGGATGCTGCAATTCTTATGGTGATTAGACCCTGATCATAAGGGTTCAGGTAAAGGAAATGCTTTAACAGTTTGAGTCACTCTGCTGAAGCAGTGTCAGCAGGGCTATGCTCTCTAGGATAGGGACTGACCACGTCCTACACTGCTTCTGCAAAGAGAGCTGAAGCTCCAAAGCAGAAAGGAGCGCTGGTGCTGTTTGCTTTTAAGAAATACTGCTCTGCTTTGAAACAGTGAATATTTGAAATATTTGGATGAATGCACCTGCACACCGGGTTTCACGTCAGTGTTTTGCCCCAGTGCATGAGCAGACATGGCGTAGGAGCTTGTTTTGTGCTAAGCAAGGGCTGTCTGGCTGTGCACAGCAGTAAATCTCTGCATCCAACTGCACAGCTGAGCTCCGGCAGCTGCGGCTCCAGGCAGGAGCTGCAGTCACTGAGTGCCCCATGTTAAAAAGCACACAGTGCAGCACGTGGTGGGTGCTGGGGCGGGTGGGAGCAACATCTCTTTCATTTCCTAGAGAATATTTTAATTTTCAGTTGAGATCGTGTCCAAAATCTTATCTTACCAAGTAATCATAGCAATATTTTTGAGCAGACGACTGCAGTGAGGGCGATGGAGGAAGCTGGAGCGCCTGGAAGCTGTGGTGCTGCTGTTCATTCATTATGAATCAGAGAGAGCAGCCTCCCCTGGGCCTCTGCCATCCTCACAGCATCAATAAGAGCTGTGCTGCAAGGTGTGGGTGATGGACTGTCCACTTGTGCACCCGAGTGGAGAACAGGCAGCAGTTGCTGCTTGTGGGTATCCGTCCCACTGCAACCAGTGATTGGTGGTTGCTCCAGGCAGCTGCTCCCACAGGGACTTCTGTCCGTGCCCTAAACAGCTACTTTAGGTCCATGTGTGGAAATAAGTGCTGTGCTAAAATACTATTAACATGCTAAAAGGTTTAGAAAAGGCTCAAAAATATAAATGAATCGGAACATACAGGCAAATCCTTTAGACAGCAACAGGAACCAAAGGCCAGAAATACATACATTCCTTCTTGAAATGTCAGGAAATGGCAGTTTATTTTTCCTTCAACTTGGCTTGGGAGTGTTATGCATGGGAATGAAATCCTGTCTGTGCACAGATGAGGGGGAGATGTGTGCTGGCTTAGATGTAGCCAGGCTTTGGTCAACAGCTAACATGGAGAAAAGAGGGCTTGGGGAGAATGAGCAGTGCTGCCTGTAATCCCTATCACTACACTGAGGTTGTGGGGCTTTTGGTGCGTTGTGTTTTTTTTTTGTGTTGGGAGCAGTGCTGGGTAACCAACTATGAGGATGGAAATTACAGAGAGTGACTGCCTTGTATTAGACCAATTGGTTTAAAATTCAGTAGAAGTGGGTACACAAGAAATTTGTTCACACCTAACTTAATTGAAGCTGTGCTTCCGGAGACCTTACAGTATAAAGCTGCTGGATATGGTTGATTGTGTACGACCAACAAACACTGCAGTGATGAGGTCACAGACTCCCATATGAGGGAGAGCAGCACCTTAGAAATAGGTTGTTGAGGATGCAGCCTCTGCCCTCCAGGTCTGTGCTCCGTCATTGCTTCACTAAGTGAGCAGAGGGAGGGGGTAACAGCAGCATCCTCCAAAGTGCTTTCCCATGGGGTGATGAACAGCCCTTTAAGATGTGCTTCATCTCAGGATAGTTTTATAGGGCTGCTGGTAGGGAAAAAGCAACAAATGCCAAAGAAAAACACTTTGATCTCATCTGCTTTGCTTTAGTGCTCGTTACGTGTTGGTCACTGTAAGGACACATTAACGAGGTGACACAAAAAAACAAAGAGCAATGCACAGCATTCTGCAGATGATGGTGTCAGTCTGCTTCTGCTCCTCTGGTGATAAAGGAAACATTCAGATCCCAGTGGCCCCAAAGCGCAGCTTCCTCCCAGTGAAGCATCCCATAAAGTCTCTACAACCCTGGGAATGCAAAGCTTGTTTAAGGTTAATGGAAGGTCAGGGATGCTTCTGCTTACAGGATGGGAAGGGGCTGCCACAGTAACTCTTTACATATGTCCTGGGCAGCTGAAAGCAGAGCTAGGGCCTGATGTGTGGCACACAGCCTGGTTAGGTGAGCTGAGCTGCACTGCAGGTGACCTTGAGCCGCAGAGGAGAAAAGCAGCTAGCCCACAGAAAGCTCTTTGCTGGCAGAAATACAGCACTTGCCAGTGCCAAAACTAGCTGGTTCAGTGCCTTGTATTTCCCATAAGATGAATTCATCAGTGCCTGTGATGTTAGGCACTGCTGTGAGTTTGCTGCATTTTCTTTTACTGATATTAGGCTGATCTTTAACAGCAATTTCATTATCCTGAGCTTGTACACATTGAAGCCATAGCTGGTGCTCCTGGAAACCAACAGAACTTACACCATTTCCTTGCTGCCTTTGGTAGTAGCAATGCATAAAAGAAATGCTGCATGGGTCTGTCTTACAACAGAGGAGCAAAGCGAACACAGAACAAGATCCATTTGATCTTTCTTTCTATTTTTTTTTTTTTACATGTTGTGAAAATGTTCCTTCTTCCGTGTTCTTAAGAGATTTCAGCAGAAATTCAGAAATCATTTCAGCTGTGTGCCAGCACTTGGGTTGGTTTTGTAGTGAGTTGCTGCAAATTTCTGCCTGGTTTTGGGCACTGAAAATGAACTGAAGAGAGTCCCTATGAGGATAGAAATTGATGGTTGTGTGTCTTGTGGTTTGGTTTTCTCGTTTTAGTTTCTGTGGTGTGATATAAGGATGCAAAAAGAGGATTGAGTTCAAGAGTTTTGCCTGAGACCTTCCTGTAGTTCAGTGGTTACAAATTAGGGATCTGTTATCTTACCTGTTTCTGCCTTCTGTAAAACTCTTCCTGAGATTAGTTTCAAGGAGAAAGGATAAGAAAGCTTCAGCAAAATACTTTCCTGAGTTTCTCTGCCCTCCTTCAAATATGCTGAAGAATGTCACAAAGGGACAACACGGCCTTAAATTCAATCTTTCCCTGCCAGTAAGGTCACTGCAGCAGCAAAGATGGGATCAGCTGGAATAAATCCTCTCACCAATACCTGCTGAGGTCACGTTTGGGTGATGCTGAGTAGCACTGAGGGTCATTCAGTAACTGAGGCCAGATGTGCTGTGATGTGTGCAGGTCAAATTCTGACCTGGTGAAAATCAGCACATTTACTCAATAACAAGTGCAATTTGCTATTAGACTTCTGTAATTTTATAACTTTTATACGCTAGCTTGGGAAATGCTGGCACCAAGACACCCTTTACAACCCAAAGTTTCCTCCTCCTCCTTTTGCTGGAGCTAGAAAGAAAGTTTTGTTGTTCAGTGCAGCAGAGAAGGGCTCCGTTCCCAAGATCAGCTCTCCTGCATGAGCTCGGATAAGGCTCTGTACCTCAGCTGCCTGTTTGCACGATGAGGATGGTTCCTCTGTTCTTGTGCCCATCCCTTTGGAGTCTTATGAGGAGGGTCTATCTTTCAGTGTGTAGAGCGCTCAGCAAAAAGGGAGCAAATGCCAAGAGAGTTGTAGAAATGTCTGTAACTAACAGCAGGAAAAGTTGGGTGAGGTGTTGGGGTTTTGGTTTAGTTGTCCATTTGAGATTTTGGGGGGTTGGTTGGCATTTGTTTTGTTTTTCCTCTTAGCTGTAACAATGTGTGAAGTGCAGGCACAGCCTGTGCTGCTCTCTGATGAGATTCGTGGCAGGATGACTTCAGCACAGGTGGATCAGAGAGAGCATTTGGCAGTGCCCAAAGAGAAAGCAGGCTGCCGTGTCCAAGGCAAGAAGGCTGCTTTAATCAGAGCATGCCATAAGGTAAATGGGACTGTTGTTGTCTGTCTCTGACAGCTGCTGAAGGACAAGTCCATGCATCATAACAAGGCCATTGTTCACAGCCATTCTCCTGAAGGAGGGTGTGCTGCTAACAGCAGGCTGCTTCCATCAGCTGAGCTGACAAATGGGTTTGCTGCTGCTTCAAACCAGCTGTCACTTTGCAGCAAATGCTCTGCACAAAAATACAAGGCATCATGTTTCCTATTTGGGTGCTATCTCTATGGACGTTACTTGCACTTTCTGCTAAGAAACTGATGCTGGAACATCCAGTGGGAAGAAGTCAGTCACATTTTAAGCTGAAAGCAAATGGTATAAGTGGAAGTACTGCAGCTACAATTCTTTTCATCCTTTGCAGAAATGCTTCATACGAACGAAGCTACCTGCTGCAGCTGCTTTTCATTCTTTTGCCCCATATGGAGTAAGCAAATATCCAAAATCAATATGCTAAAAATAAAGCGTTATCACTCAAGATTGCCAGGCTATATGTAAGCTCAGCTGAGGCAGGTAGAGCAGCCCTGTGGTGTTGAAGCTTGGAAAGTATGAATATTTGCTTTCCTACGGATTTCCTGTGATCTGTCAACTATTCTTCACTGGCTTTCTGTATGTATGTATATATTTATTTTTATTTTTATTTTTTTTTCAAGAGAGAGAGGGGAGATGATAAGAGCACTGTTGGAGTTGCTGAGAGATACTGAATGCTTCAGTGCATGCTGATGTCTGTGTCATGGAGAGGAGCAAGGGCATTGTTCCAGTTGCTCTCACCTGAAGGTGAGAGCAGGTTCCTGGGTGTGCTGCCCAGCCAGCAGAAAGAGCAATGCATGTGCTGTCACTGTGCACAAGGCTGGGGGTTTCTCCCCAAGCTAAATGACACACGTTGGCCTGGGATCTGTGATGCATTAGGAGGCAGCTCTCCAGCCTGATGGATGGCTGAGGTGGGCACCACTGGAGCTGCTGCCTTCAGTGCTGCTGCCCCAGCACCACCAGGAGACTGAGCAGGACTGGCACTGCTGCTGGGTTTGCCTTCATAAGGCCTGGGGAGAAAAGAAGTGTTTAAGGGAAAATAAGTAGTGTGTTTATTTCTTTTTCTATTAAGAAACAATTAATTACTAATGTGCAGCTGAAGCCCTCAGATAAACGAGGCAGCAGTCAGGGAGGACGAAGCAAGGTTTATTTTTGGCTGGGTGACACATTTCCTCTTACTTCTGACAAACAATTCACAGAATGCTCATGGGGAAAACCACCGATTTTTCATAGAACGATGCTCATGAAGTCCAGGTAATGAATGCCAAGAACCTCAGTGGGAGAGCAAAGCAGAAACATACAGTAGAGTTATTACTTCTGTACAACATAGCAGACAAATGTTAGAGGCAGTTGATGCTCTGAATCCAGTGCTCTGAGATAGGGTCTTTAATTCAAGCCCATTTTGTATCAGATTGAGATGGCAGTGGAGGTGAGCGCCATGCCGGTGCCTTGCTCTGCTGTCGGTGTGATGGTGCTGTGTTCTCTCCTTCAGAACGCGCTGGCGAAGGCTCTGTATGACAACAAGGCAGAGTGCTCGGACGAGCTGGCCTTCCGCCGAGGGGACATCCTGACAGTGCTGGAGCAGCACGTCGTCGGCAGCGAGGGCTGGTGGAGGTGCTCACTGCATGGACGGCAAGGCTTGGCTCCTGCCAACCGCCTGCAGCTCCTGGCAGGCCCACAAGCCCTGCCGCCTCCTGCCATCCCCAGCGATGCTCCAGAGCCACCCGTGGCCCCGCAGAACATCTACCAGGTGCCATCTGTGCCCAAGGGCACTGCGTCATCCTCTACCTATGAGAAGATGGAGGGGTGGGTGACGTCGCCGGCTCGGGCTGCCACCCTGCCTGCTCAGGGGGTCTACCAGGTGCCGGCCTTGGCTGCACAGCTGCTCAGTGAGAGGACACGGAGCACCAAGCAGCAGGTAGGGTGTGAGCAGCATGGGACAAAGTGCTGCCATTGAAGTGGCAGCCGGGGGGCGGGGAGATCCGAATGGCTGCTGGGTGGAAAATTCCAGTGGAATTTGCAGCAAAGTCGACCAAATAAAGAACATTTAGGGAACGAGTTCCATCACAGCACGATGAGAGAAAGGCTGATCTGGGCAATGTATGATACTCCGTGTTCTGTAGTGTTTCACATTTTTTGACAGTTTACGAAGGCTGTAAAGCATGGCAGGAAGTATAGAATAAACCATTTGTTTGCAGAAATCTCAAAATGATTTGCAAACCCACCCCGAAGTCAAAATAAGAAGAGACAGCACCTTCCTGCTGCTCACCGGCATGCATCTATTCAGAGCCTCCTGGTGCACACTGGGGGTCTTTGCAGACAACCGCACAGGAAGAAGATCTCTGACAAACAAAAGTTATCTTTTGCCAGGGCTGTCGTTCAGCTGCTCTCTTGGAGAGCCATTGCCTTGTAGGCTGTCACTACACTTGCACGAAGCAGCAGCTCTTCTTCAGGCGTGTGGGAGGACGCGGGGCTGTTCAGCTGTGAGCATGGCCTCAGCCAGATCCTTTCCAGATCTGTTCTTGCTGCTGCTCCTGAGACAGCGAGCAGAGTACGTGGAATGAGAGCAGTCACCAGTCTCCTTAGTGCTGTGGGATTACAAGCCCTTTTTTGCAGGACTTCATTACAACTGCTGATGTGGTCTTTTCTTTCTCCCTGTTCCTTCCATTCGGGTGAAACATCTGAGTGGGAAATGTATAATTTGATGAAATGTCACAGTGAGTGTCATCAAAACCTTGTGCTTTCTTCAGCACGAGATTAATGAGGAATCTTTTATAATAAGAGATAAACAGAGCAGGTGTGGAGGGAGTTCCAAGTGCAAGCTTTCGTTCAGTCCCAGGAGCTCTTCAGCTCTGGGTAGCTCTTTATTCTGTGTACGAAAATCAATTCAAAATGTTAATTGGCATAGGAAAGAAGTCCAACCCCAAACCATACAGCCCTTTAGTCTGAATTAATGAGCATTTGATCTACAGGACGCAGCTGGCCGGCTTTCCTCCCGCTGTGCTACAGAATGAGGAGCTGGTTCCTCCTGTGCAGCAAATAGGTGCTGGAAAACAGACACGTTTGGTGAATTTCTGGTGACAGCAAACTGTATTTTCAGCACTTCGGCTGCACTCCCAGGCCTCATGTACTGTTTCCATAACGGCAAGCTCAAACTGGGCAGTAGCTGCCAAAGACCCTTGTGCACTTGCTGTGATCTGGTTTCTCCGCATTCTTAACCAAAAAGAGGGCAAGGCACTTGCAAACTGAAGTGAGATCAGCGCAATTTTCCACGTTGTGACAACAGATCAGGCCCTGGAAATGTCATTTATTTCTTCATTTGTGTGAGTGGCCCAACATTAGAGCTCATTGGCTTTTCCTGTCTCTGTAATTTGGTGAGTCTATGCCTTGCTTACTCTGCCAGAGAAAGGGGGAAGGAAGAAAAAAAGAGGAAAAAACAGAAGTCCTAGCTGCTTTTACTACTTCAACGTTCAGCTTTGCCTGAGCTGGCTCTTGCACAACAACCCAGCTGTTGCCACAACAACTGCATTGTGGTGGTCACGGGCTGCACACAGAGGCAATCAGGGCTGCCCTGCGTAGATCCTACCAGACAACTGGCAAAGCTGCCAACGCACTCAGCTGTTCCCCAAGCAGCTGAGTAAAGCCACTGGAAGTCTTTGAGGGAGATGACTGAAAGCAGTAAATCAAAGCCAGCCTGCTTTCACCCTGTATACAAACGTTGTCGCTTCGCTTGTTGCTCAGGCTGTGTGCTGAATGAACAAAAGTCAGTATTTTCAAGGTTGATGAAAGGCCTTTCCCAACGTTCATCTTGGTGCCTTAACTACTGGTGCCACATCTCTGATCTCAGCTCTTAAAACAATGTTTTATGCACATAGAATTAATCTGCAATTAGCCTAAATGCTGTAATTCCCATATAGGCTTCTCTGTTTAAGGAGCTGGATAGGACATTGAGGTAATTGTGTTTATTTCTTCCAAGTGAGTAAATGCTTCACGACTACAGAGTAACACATCTCAGCCTGTATCCTTTTGCTGCTGTTATTACCAAGAAGCACGGCTTGACCTGATGGCTCTGTGAGAGAGAAGTAGAAAATCCCCTGCTTTCTTTTTTTAACAGTTCTGCTTTGGAGAGGTCAAAAGATTTAAGTGATAATAGAAGTTGATCTTTTCCCTCCCTGGTTAATAACACTGATTCCCTTTGATTCGTATGCGCCCATTCTTATCTGAAATAAAGCAGAAATGGTAGCAAAGGAGAAAATACCAAATTTATCACCATCAGTGAAAAACTAAATGTTGTGCATCACTGAAGAGTTCCTCCTCTAGCAGTGACCCATTCAACAAGCTGAGTTTTCAAAGATGTCCTGAGCTTGTTGCCCACTGCGGTTTTCTCATTATTGTTTTGCTTTGTTTTCCCTTCTCCTCTAAGCACCTCTTTACTCTCCCGAGGGCGTGCCGGGCTTCAGTGCCAAACATCACCAGTGAGGTGTACGATGTCCCGTCCATGCAGAGCCGAGAGTCCCTGCTCACACAGGTACGTCTTCCCTCAGTCCCTCAGATACCACTGGGCCCCCAGCCCATCTCCCTCCCATAGAGCCTCAGAATACAGCTTAAGGTTTAGAGTTTTAATTCTAGCATTTTCCTGTTTTTGTTTTTTTGTTTTGTTTTTAATTTGGCAGAAGAACATGTATTTTTGGGGAAGTTCAAAACAAAGTAGTTCTGTTTTGAATTGGTTAGAAATTCAAAGAAATGTCATTTAAATCTGCTTATGTTTCTTACAAACACATTCAGTTTAACTACCACGGTCCTGATCTAGACTGTGGAAATCAGGAGCTACGCAGTATGTGACCTGAACATCTCTGAATACCAAAGGAGTCTTCAGAGGGCTCTAAAGTGGGTTGAAACCTGATTCTTTTCCCTTTGGCCAGAGTGGTGCCACTCCACCTGCAGCACGAAAGGGCTCTGTGCTGGTCAGATCACCCAAGTGCTTCCAGGAAGAGCAGCAGCTCTACAGCGTCCCGTCCAGCTCAGAGAAGGCTGGAGCTGTTATCCAGGATTCAGCAGTGGGCAATGTGAGTAAGACTTTTTGGTCGTGAGAGAATAATCTCCCACTAGTGCTCTGATGTTAGGCACCTGTGCTGAACACTCTCCGAGTGCATTTGCAAGCAAGGGTCACAGGGACAGCATCAGCACATCTTCAGTGCAGCACTTTGTGCTTCGTGCTAAAAACAAAACACTGCCTGTGAATGTCTGCTTGTTTGCAGTATTCAAGCAGACAGAAGCAAACACTTCCCACTGCGTGCAGGCTACTCCTGCCACTCTTTGGGAGTACAGCACACCTGACTTTGGGGGCAGTGCTGAGGGGTGAGGTGGGCTTCCCCACCTTCCAAAGATTCCTTGGAGAAAGGGCTGATCTCAAACTTCACAACAAAGAAAATACCTCAGTGGAGACTCTTCATTAGTCGAGCGCCAAGCATCTCAAGTTTCCTGAACAGTTTATGGTCCAAGAGAACTTTGACATGGTTTAATCACCTGTGCCCAAAATATTTTAGCCTTCACATCTGCAGGTTGTGCGTTGTAGAGAGGTAATAAAATTTGTGGACTAAGCTTTTTGTGGCATCATTCTGTTGTTATTACTGCATACATGTGCACACTGAGAATTTAGTTTTGTTTCTTATTTCTTTTTTAAAAATTCTGTTTCTAAATCCTGCGTGCTCTGATGCAGTTGTATGATGTCCCTCCGAAAAGAGAAACTGTTGCCTCAGAGAAGAAATCTCAGAAGAAGTTCTGGGGTCACTGTAGCACCTTGCCAAATCCTCGGAAGTCAGAATGGATTTATGATATTCCAATATCACCTGAAAAAACAGGATTAAAACAAAACTCTTCTGTCCATTCCATGGAGAACCAGGTGCTATACGATATACCCCCAGCCAGGTACAAGGCACTAACAACAAATGCTGAAGCCATCGTTGTAAATCCAGAATTGTATGATATTCCACCAACACAACGGAAATTAACATTTCCAGATGTCCCTCTTTATGACGTTCCATCCTCAAAGGATGTTCTCTTGCAGCAGAATGGTAGCTGTGATGTACCCCCAAGTCTCCTGGCTCCAAATGCTGAGAATCAGATTTCTGGAGGAAATGTCTATGATATCCCAAAATGTTTGCCCACTGCTACACAGTCCATGAAAGAGATGGAAAAAAACAGCAACTGTTCTGGAAACCAGGCATACCATGTTCCCCCACAGCTCTCGAGAGACACCAAACCAGAACACGACAGATTATCTGTTTCTAGTGTGGACAGCAGAAACAGCAGTCTTTCTACGTCCTCAAACTCTTCTTCTGAGTCTTCTTCTGTGTCATCATCAGAAGAGCCTGCCAAAGAAATTAAGCTGGACCTCGAGGTGGCCATAGAGACGCTGACTAGATTGCAGCACAGTGTATCTAGCTCAGTTGCAAGTTTAATGATCTTTGTGAGCAGTAAATGGAGATTACAAGAGCACCTAGAGAAAAACATTGAAGAAATCCATAGGGCCATTGATCACATAAAAGTGTCACTTGGAGAATTCTTGGCCTTTGCTCGAGCCTTAAAGGTGAATGCATCCTACCTCACTGATAATAACCTTCAGGTCAGAATTAAAAAACAGCTAGAAATTCTTATGAACTCATTCCAGATCTTGACAGAAACAAGAGAAGCTCTAAACAACTGCAATTGGTCCTTAGAGGTTTTGGTCCTCAAGAAACCCTACAACAACCCAGATGACCTCGATCGCTTTGTTATGGTTGCCCGCACGATTCCAGATGATCTCAAGAGATTTGTATCCATCATCATTGCCAACGGAAAGCTTCTCTTCAGAAAGAATGAGAAGGAGCAAGAACTGAAGCAACAAAGAGTGAGCCCAGAATATAAAATGCCAAAACAAATCACGGCACCAAGAAGAACAGAAATAGATTCGCTTCCAGTAAATGCTCCTGATAAACCCAACTCAAGTCAAGGCAGTAATGAGACAACAAAAGAAAATGTCACTGAGGACTGTGAATACGTTCAGCTACAGGTTAGTAAAGTGGGATTCTATCATTATATTTGCAGGCATTTGCAGCATTTGCAGACGTTGTCATTTGCCTTGTTCTATCTTTGTATCGATGCCAACTTCAGTTTGCACTGCTATCTATTTTCCAGACCTTATGTGAACTCAGAATTTCGATCACGAAGGTACAGTGATCAATAATTACAAGTAACAAAGAGAACTTGTGTTAGAGAGTTTGTCCACGCTGCCAGCCGAAACTGAGAAAGATTTGCAGCTTGCCCTTTTAAATTCATTTGAGAGACAGTTTTTGTCTGTAGGTTAGCTTTTTTTCTTAGCCTGGTAGATCTCTTCTTGCCCATACGTTTCACTTGTTAACTCTGACATCATAATATGCATAATACTGATTTTCTGCTTTAAGATATACTGTGCTTCTGTAGACTTTTTTTTTAATAACAGATTAAACTCTTACTCTGAATTTTAAATTTATTTGCTAGAATATCTTTGGAGTTTTGGTAGAATTATTATTTTTTTCTTATATTACTGTAATGTCTGCTAAGAGCTCATTCTCCTTGGCCTCACAAAGAAATGCTGGATGTCCTTAGGATTTAGAAAATGTTGTATTTTGTTGATGTTTACTTCAATCATAGCTCTTACGGACTGCACAAAAGTTTAAGTAGAAAACAAATACAATTTATTTCAATACATGCATCGATGTGATCTGTAATGCAACCTGGACAGCAAGCACTTCCCTTGAAAGAAGTGCAAAGCACATTTATATTTAAATATTTTATGTAAACCACTTCAATTTCGCTTTCATTTTGATTTTTAACAGGCACAGAAAATAATTTCTGGCAAAGAAGTGTCAAAGAAGAGCACAGATTCAAAACCAAAGGTATTTCTGATTTTGAAATCTATGGCATACATGGAGTCCCAGTCCTTCATTTCTGTGCCTGCTAAAATTCAAAATAATTTCTGTGTTTGAAAACCCACCTCTACACATGGAGTTGTATTTGTTTTCTCTGTTCATTTTCCCACAGCTGGAGGTTTTTTAGCTAGTGCTGTAGAGCTGTGCAAGAGATTTATTTCCCTAAATGTAATTAACCACTCTAAAGTCCTGTGGTTCTTCATCTTTTTGCTTTTGTGTCTCGTTTGGGGAAGGCTGCGACAGGTAATATTTCAAAGCAATGCACTGCTATAAGGACTGAATCTCATTATTGTGTAGTTTTAATTATTCATGCCCCTCGTGAAGTCATTACCATTAAAATCAAATCTAAATGCTTTCTGCTATCCAAAAGCTTGGAGCCCAGACTCCATAAAGGATTGATGTTTAACTACAGAACGTTGTCTGCTATCCATTATGACAATGGTGTTCAGTGAAGTTTTCTCAGGGAAAAGGTAAGTGAGTGAAAATATTGTTTTGAAGCCCAGTACTTTGTGGAAAGTAAATGATGGCAAAAAAAACCCCATGCTGGGCTGTCTGGGGCAGCTTGGCATCTGTTAATCAATAAAGCTCCCTGTAAGTGAGGAAACATGGTAAGAATGGAAGAATGTGCTGTAGAGCAAGTAGGAACAAACCCAGCATGCCAGAACCTGAATCCATTCTTTTGAACCCTCCTTCTAGGTGTTGCCATCTACAAAAAAGAATGCAGTTCGAAGCCAGCAAGATTCTGCCAAAAAAATCGTTGTTCCAGAGCAGTGCAGGCTGTGTTTCGGTGCCCTTCACAAAGCCATTGCTGTGTTTAATAGCAGCCTGAGCAGTAACCAGCCGCCTGAAGTCTTCATATCCCACAGCAAATTGATCATTATGGTGGGGCAGAAGATAGTGGATTCTCTCTGCCAGGAAACACAACTGAGAGAGGCTCGGAGCGACATTCTCCACAGCAGCAGCCGGTTTTGCAGCCTCCTGAAGAACCTGGCTCTCGCCACCAAAAATGCTGCAATCCAATATCCCAATGCAGACGCAATGAGGGAACTTCAGAACAAAAATGATGAGCTGTATAAATACACACAGCAGTTTAGAGCAATGTTAGAATGAGAGTGACTTCGCTTCTTGTAACTACTGTTAGTATTTTGAACAATGGTCAAAACTTGAATTTGTGTTGTTACAGTTCTTTCTTCACTCCCTTGGCAGCCAAAGGGCACCAGCAGCTCAGTGGTGCCGACCCTCAGCCCTCCCAAGCACCCCTGCCAAGCAGTTTCCCTTGGGCACTTCTGCACCTCTAGCAGGTTAAGACCCACACAACAGCAGATGCAGGAGGGATGTGTAGAATTAAATGTGTGCTTCCTTTCCTGCCGTTCAGACCTTGTCTAGAAATGTTGTCCTCTTCCTGTTCGGGTGGGATTTTTTTGCTGAGTATTTCAGCAAATGTTATTAACTGTTTTTTTTTTTTTTTTTTTGTTTGTTTGTTTGTTTGTTTAAATTTCTACACAAGTCAAAAATATATCTTCCTGTTCTTTTTTTTTACTGAGCACGTAAAGCCTTTCTTTATCTGCACACCGTTCTGTAAGCTGCGATATATTACTGTGTGTACCATCATCAGCAGATCCTGGAGCACTCAACTCGAACCTGTTTTTGACTTTTTTTCCCAAGAGCCTTACCTTTGCAGCTGTTCAATGTTCAAATGTAATGAACACATCACAGGACAAACCGCGTCTCACTGCTGTTAATCAGAAATGCTCCGGCTGCTGTGTGAGCACGGATAGAAGGCGTGCAGAGTTCTGCTTCTCCATTCCCACAGCTCTGGGGATCGCAGCTCCATCACTGCCCGAAGCCTCCAGTGTATCCCACCGTCTCTCTAATGTCTGTCATCAGCTGTCACCTCCCCTGTCCCCAGACCCGCTGCTCTGAAGCAGCAGTGATGTGAGCCCCATGAGCATCCATACGCGCTGTTCCTATTCCTGTGCTGCTTGTATTTATCTTGACTAATTTATTTAAAAGTTTTATCTGAATTTTTAAAGTCTGGCTTTTCTTGGTAGCTGTGTACCTGTGTACCTGTATTTTCACCCTGACATGGGCTGGGTAGATTTGTATTTGCTGCTGTCATTTGTGTCTGTGCAAAGAACAGCTCCATCACTGTCACGCTGCAGTGGTGTTTTGTACTGTTATTTAAATGCCGGTACAGAAATGTGCGCTCTGCCCAGATTTCTTCACGTAAATAAATAAACCGACGCACAGCACAAGGAAGGAAAGCGGCTTCGGGCACGAAGGGGGCCGAGGGCGCCCCCTGCTGGGCGCGGCGATGCGCTCTGCGGGCGGCCCGCTGTGAGTCCCGCCCTCTGCTGCTGATTGGTGAGCGGCCGCTGTGACACTTTCGGGGTAGACCGGAAGTCTTCGGCCGGAAGTCCTCAACCGGAAGTCAAAAACCGGAAGTTTGTGGTCCATCGGGAAGAGAACACGGAAGTGTAGCGAGATGGGATGCGATGGTGGTACCATCCCCAAGCGGCACGAGCTGGTTAAGGGCCCTCGCAAAGCCGTCAAGGTTGGGGGGTGCTGCGCGAGGGCGGCGGGGATGTCGGCGGGCGGCTGCCGGGCCGGTTTTGTAAGGCTGGGCCCTGAGCTCGGGCCCACGGTCTGTGGGAGGCAGGGCTGGTTCGCAGGTTCGCACCTGGGGGTCGGGTCTGGTGCTGGGAGCGGGGCGGGAGCGTCTTTCTGTACCTGGGGCGATAGTGGGGGCTGTGGTGAAAGCCGCTTTATACTCTGGGAGGGATTACAGGCATGCGTTGCCTCTTAATAGCACGGGGTTGGAGCGTGCTTCGTTAGGGATGCGGTATTTGCTGCGACGCATCTGGGGTGCCGTGTGTAGTGGCACCAGGCAGCCGGTGTGGCTCGATTTCATTCCATCTGATTGCATTCTTGCAGCGTTGGACACGGCGCTGTCACAGGGATTAAAGTTAGGAAAAACATCACAGCAAACATCAGAGCAGTTGTACAGATAACCTTTAATAATATAAGCAAATAAATAGCATTTCTGCTCCATGTCAGACTGTGGCCATACTGCTATGTTATGCCAACTGAAGTAGCTTCAAATCTCAGCCTTTCTCTGTGGTCAAATACTTAATAAATTTTTGTTTTAAAACTGAACTTTCAGCTATCATATCAATATCCCTAGATTTGTTTTTCTTGTTACTTTTGCTCCTTATGGGGACTGAAATTTGGATCAGGTGGGTCTGAAATGTGCTGTGGAGATGCATCATAGATAACATAAAGTGTAAAAAACAGTAAATGAGGGAAGTGTAGAGATGGAGGTGTCAGAAAGTGAGAAAACTGACTTAGAGTTAGCAAGCTGGCCCCAAGATGCAGAAACATTTTCAACAGCTCAAAACTGATCATGAGTTTTTGCTGATACTTCATGGAGCAACAGAGGGAGTAGTTTCGGTGAGATGCCTGGGGAATTGATTAACGCTTCAAGTGTTATTTGAGTTTAATGTAAATAACTTGCAAATAGAAAAGCTGTTTTAAAATTATTATTACTTTTTTTTCTTTAGGTTGACAAAACTGCTGAATTGGTGGCAAGGTGGTATTACTGCACTCTGAGTCAGGAGAAGTTATGTCGCCCCATAGTGGCCTGTGAACTAGGCAGGTACGATGTTCTCTGTGTTAAAAGGTGCTGATTTGTGAATAAAAGAATGTTATGGGCATTAATAGGATTACTAAAAATTTTATTTTGTAGGTTGTATAATAAAGATGCTGTCATTGAATTTTTGTTGGACAAGTCAGCTGATAAAACTCCCATGGAAGCTGCATCACATATCAAGAGCATTAAGGTAAGAAGGTTTAACACTGAGGAGTGCCACAAAATTCAAAGTCCTGTGAGACCTCAGTTGGCTTCTCATCTCACTACCAACAAAATTGCTAAAGAAAAAAATTGCAGTGGAAAAAATCTCTGGGAATCTGGTCATACCTGAAAAATCATCAGTAAAGCAGCTAAAGTCTTATTTGCTTTTTATCTTTCAGAATGTAACAGAACTAAACCTTGCAGATAATCCAGCTTGGAGTGGTGATAAAGAAAGTAAAAAAGGTGACACGTATGATGACATGCAGTCTGCACGCTTTATATGCCCTGTGGTGGGGTTGGAAATGAATGGAAGACACAGGTCAGTGGTTTACATTTCTGAATGTAGGTTATAAAAGTGGCTGCAATGTAAAGTGGAATTTGTAGCAAGTAAAGAAGTGTAAATGATGTAGGTCGTGTATGTCTTTATGGGGAATAGATGTCCTGCATTCTTTTCATCTTTTCCCCTTTAAGGATGAAAAGTTATCCCTTTCTGGAGTCAAAGTATGTGTATGATAGGAGAGTTAAGAGTAATGTTTACAGTGAATGAGAGACTTCAAGGTTTGAGGGCTAAACCGTGGGTGACTGACATGGATAAGGGGAGAAAGGTTGAGTGAGACCCCTCCCCCCCCCTTGTAGTAGAGCAAATTGTATTCAAATGCTAGTATCAATTTTTTTTATTATTATTTGGCTGAAGAAAGGCTTTCCTTTGCATTCAGTTTGGGCACACTTGGAATTTCTTTTTCTGTGCATTTTAACTCTGATAGATGAGAGGGGTTGGGTTCACAGCTTAACAGCTGCGAAGTGTTTCTTCCTTAGGTGAATAATTACAGCTACTCAGATGGAATTAAAGAGAGAACCTGAAAAGTAAACTCGTTTTCCTCAGGGCCACCATAGGACAGTTTTTCTTCATGTGAGGATGATGGAGAGGATTAGAGTAGCTTTCCCTAAAGAATTTGAAATGAAAAGGATGACATTGTGAGCTTGCAGATACGTATTTTAGACAAACAGTTTATCAAAAATGATCTGTTGCCTTTTCTTTAAAGGTTTTGCTTCCTGAGGAACTGTGGCTGTGTGTTCTCTGAACGTGCTCTCAAAGAAATTAAAACAGAAGTTTGTCACAAGGTGGGTTTTTCTTAGCTTTAATAGCAATGGGGTTACAGTGACCCTCAGGGACAGATGGATGTGTGTGTGTACATATGTATTTATATGTATGCATGCAGAACTGTGTTCTTGTCTACTATTTTAAAGTGTTCTGGTTTTTTTCATTTCAATATGCAGATTAGTAGCTGCCAGTTTGTGTATATGTAGCCCTAATTACCTGAATTTCCCCAGCACATTCTGTCTTTATATGGCAATGCAGTAAAGTGAACTGGAAAAAAATCACAGAGGAAAAGTAGTGTTGTGTATTGTGCTAATGCTAGGATTAGAAATTGCTTCTTAACAAAGAAGTGTTGCTGTCAGGTAGGTATTCTTTCGAAATGCAAAAACTCTCTGAGGTGCAGGGTTTCAATATTGTGGTTGCTGGATGCAATGTTTCTCCTGCTGGCTTAAGAACGTTTAGTTTGGAACCAGAATGGATCCTGTGGGATCCATGTGGGCCATGGTGAGTCACATGTGTGATTTGATGAGTGCTTCGGGAAGAGCAATCCTGTCTTTGTCTCTGCACTCTTAGCACCCAGGCTTTCTTTACATATGTTAGAATCTGATTTTGTTTCATCTCGAGCTGAGATTTGTGGTATAAATGCAAACTGGGAAATCCAGATGGATAGCAGCTCTTTTTTCTACTGCTGTGAAATTCAGGAAAGCGCTTTCAAAACAAGCTATTCTTGTGCATGAATCTCACCTATAAGCCTGCAGACCAGGTTTGAAAGCCTGCTAACATGTAAACAACTGTTTCCTAGAGGACTTTGTGAAGAGATGCATCAATGATGCAGGAAAAACATTGCTGAGCATCTCTTCTTCAGCGAGTGCCAGCAGGCAGTCTGCAGTCCGGTGTTCTGTCAGCAAGGTCACAAAGCTCATATATTCATGTGCTACAAGGTGTCAGAAAATGCTGTGCTTTGTGGAACCGTGGGGAATTATTTTCCTTTGCTCAGAGCAGAGGGTTCCTTCCTTTCTGGATCTCCTGGCTTGGCTCATCAGAACCCAGAAAGTGATAAACCACTTTTCACTGGGAGGTCCCACAGTCAGCTTCTCTCTGCTCACTTCTCCATTATTTTTTTTTTATTTCTGTGGCAGCTCATAGATACAGTGACACAGCAACATGCTTATTGTGAAACAAGTGTTTAGAAGCAGGCCACTGCCTAGCCCAAGGAACTAGAAAAACACCAGATTAAGAATTCAGTCTCCTTTGGTTTGTCTTGGCAGTGTTTGCTGCTGTCCTGGATTTGGAAGGCTTTATAGAGCTTAGGTGCACGGGAGATGAAGCAGTCTTTTCATTTCAGTAATCAATAAAAATTCATTTCAAAATAAAAATAATTCCTCAGTAGGAGCTTTACAAAAAGTAGTTGAACTGATGGTTTTACACAGACATGCATTTTTTTGAAGTTTTATAGAGCAAAGGAAGGAGGTTGTAAATAGCAGTGGGAAGATGGGTGCTGAAATGTACAGGATGTGACTGTTAAGAGGAAGGAAGAGCAGCAACTTTGCTTCGTGATGAAGGCATTTGGTGCTGATGAGTGCTGTGCAGCATGGAGCCCTGACTCAGCAGCTTTCTGCTCTGCTTCCTGCCTGCTGTTCTTCAGGAAGGACTGAATGTGACATAAAAAATATCAGGTTAAAATCTGCACTTTTAAGCGAGAGCTTTTCACTTGCTGAGTGTTTTGATTCTCCATCAGACTACTAAAATTAAATCAAAAGAACAACCATACTTGAAAATCGTTTTTTCTGTTTGAAGGTGTCTTGAACAAGGCTCTCAGTGCTAATCTGTGGCAGTCTGTTTGTTGGCAGAGTAATGATTATTGAACTTGTGCTGAAACATCCAGACTTCTGATCAATCTGTGTAACACAGGGATTATACAGATGAGATGATACAGCTGTTCCAGATGCCTTATCAAGGGAATCAGTGAATGTGTGGCATGTAGCAGGGCAGCTTGAGGAGGGAGAAGGGCTGGCAGCATGCAGTGGAGCCACCAAACGTCTGTTTTACCATGTTCTGAACAGGCTCTCTGTGACATTTGTGATGGGGCTGCTCTGATTCTGCTTCCTCTGTGCAGTTTCCTGTCATTAAGATTGCACATTGCTGCCAGTGGTGTCACTGATTGATTGAAATAAAGGGTGCAATTGTACAGGAGCTCTGTGCTCACTCAGTGCTGAAAATGCCGTGGTTCTGGCATAATCAGAAGGGGCATCCAGCTTCTGAGAGTGATGAAACCCACTGCACAGAGGGGCCAGAAGGCAGTGAGAAGTACAGATGAATTGTTATAATATTCCTTGTACTTTGTTTAATTAGTTCCTTGCTTATGACCATTGTACAAACCTCTATTTTAACCAGGTTTTTCAAGTGTAGTCTCTTGCTTCTCTTTACAGCTTCTTTTGGAACCGTCTCTACATTTAGCAGACTTTCATACATGCCAGAAGTATATCTTAACTACTAAAGTCTGTGCCACGTTAAACAATCAAATGTTTACCTTAGATATAGAGCTATTGAAAGTGTTCCATAGGCTTTCTGAAATAGAAATTGTGCATTCATCTCTCAGATGTGTGTTAATGTGTGTGCAATGTGTTACAGAGCCCAGGGTCTCCTTGGAGCACGGCACGCTGCCACTGTGCTCAGAGCAGCAGTTACCAAAAATTAGTAAACATCAGGAGCTGTGTGAGAGCAGATTGATCATGTGAATGGTTTTGTAAGGCATGTTAAATGCTTTCAGCTTTCACTGGTTTATTACTTGATTATTTTTTTTTTTTAAGCTGTTGATAGAACTAAAAACAAACAAAAAAGCAACACTCTGAGAAATTGATGATGTTGTCATTACTCAGCAATGGCTAGAGAGGATTTGTTTAAGAGTCCTTAAGGGGAAGGGGAGGAGCAGCTCCCACCTGGAGGAGGGCTGCATCCTCGATCTCTTTATATTCCTATTCCCTGTTTTGGCTTCGGTTGATATAAAAAGCCACTTTCTTTGTGCAGGCTGATTAGAACTGCAGTTGGTTGCAAAGGATCTGGGAAATGAGATCCTTATCCTGGATGCTTCTGGGTGTTATCTCCAGTTGTCAAGATTCAGGGAAGCTGTGGGGATTGAAAAACAGCTTTTCACTCTGTTTGCCTTTGTTCCCTGGCCTCCCATTTCCTATGTCTCCTAGCCCTAAACGCCTCCAGAGGATGAAAAACAAGGACTTGAAGTAAACACGTGTTGCAGGACACCTACTACTGTTACTGATACAGACACCCTTTTTAGTAAGAGCAAAACATGAATAGTGCATGAGTGGTGTTGCCATGCTACACAATGAAATTAGAAGTGCAGCTGGCCATGAATGGTGGTGAGATGGGCTGTGTGTGAAACTGGCTGTCATCTGCTTCTCTGCAAGCTCTGCAGCTTTAGTGACACGTTTGCCACTCAGAGCAATCCGTTTCATAAAGCATACAGCAGACATGACTTTAGTTAGCTTGTACTCTTCATATTTCACCTTTGTTCAGTCATTACCTCCATTTTGTTACTCTTATACCACTGAGTCCTCTTTTTTTTTTTTTTTTCAGCTACAGACATGGGGAATGTGTATTTTCCAGTTAAATGAGTCACTTAGAAGATTATGAACTTCTTACAGACATCATTTTCTGTAGGAATTAATCCTTTAGCAGCCATTGCTCTTTCTGTTACTGTGGTAACACTAACTGCCTATTTCACTGGTCAAACAGTAGTACAGCATCACAGCACGGGGGTAAGCAGTGCACCAAGTGAATGAAGTCTATGGGTGAAAACACTGATGGGTTCTCAGTATTCTGGGTGTGCGTTTACATTTCAGTTAATCTCAAACATCCAGCTTCATGTTGAAGGAGTTCTCTTCCTGAAAACGCCAGTCATCTTCAATTGGGACCTCTGCCTGGTGCAGCACTTTCAGCCTGTGGCGTCTCTCTAGGCAGTCCATCACCAGTGGATACGTTGCAGGCTCAAATTTGTTGGCAAACAAGTGAGGCGATTCGATAATCCACTGTAAATCCCCCAGTCCATAGACACAAATGTCTCTGATGTAATGACCTGCAAAGACAAATTGAAGTGTCTGAAAGCAGAGGAAAGCTGCAGGGAATCCTGAAAGAATATCTTCATGCTGTGGGGTTACTAACACCTGTTACCTCTTGACTTCACACACTGAAATGGATCCAGAGGTTAGCCCTGGGTCTAAAAATTCCAGGCTGTTCTGGTTTTGTGTTTTACATAAATGGATGCGTGCTGTCTCCACCTGCTCCTCTGACAGTGCTTATCTCGTGGTGGGACAGCTGATGTTCTCCTACCTCATTTGGGTCCATTTTTAAGAAGGCAGCGCTTTCCTGGTTGAGTTTGCAGTTATGTATATTTAACTATCTTTTGCCTTTTATTCCACGTGTCAGCGCTGTCCTGCTTCCGTAAATCGGATTGAAGAGATTTCATTCAGTTCTGCTGTATCTGACAAATGTGTTGCTGAGTAACCCCCTCACTTCTCACTAAAAATGAAAGTCTAACGAGGGCGTTGGTGAATGCAAACAGAGGAAGGTAATTGAGTACAAAAAAACTTGCAAAATAAGAAAATATGCACACGTGCAGTTCTGTTGTTGGCCCATTGAATTGTGGAGCTATTGCAAGTGGGGGGTTGGGAGAAGGGCGGTCAGCAGGTGGATACTGTGACGGTCTTTGCAACAGTGTGTCAGAAGGTATTTGGGTTGGATACAGCAGAGCGGGATGGGCGGTTGTTTTATATGATAATTCCACAAAAGAAAGTGTTCCCACCGAGGCTAGTTCAATGCATGATACATAACTAGCAGTGAATGCAATTGTAGCTCACGATAAAATCTCACGTTACCTTTGCAGCCTTTGTGTACGGTTCCTTCTTGATCTTTCCATTTAATGGCTCGTATGTTTCCTTCCCAGTCTGCGTGTGGTGTAGCACCTGGGGCATCTTTACAAGAGTAAAGTTCTGATAAGATTCCTTTCTGCTTATTTGGGGGATAATTTTGAGAGCATGAGCTTTATCACGGTAAAAATTTACTTTTTTAATTAACTCTTCTTTAACTGATAGCTAATGGTCTGCACCATAAGTAGGACTTCTCTAGAATCAAGCTCCATTTCTTAGCCATCATAAGATAGGGTTTAAAGGAGCAGCATCAAGACTGAAAGAATGACCACATCCATGCAGTGTAACTCAGGGTGTTGTTAAGCTCTAAAACAACTCAGCTCTGTCCCATGCCCCAGTGCTGTTGGTGCAGAGGTTACTCTTAATAGAAATAACATAAATCTTACCCTGCAGACGGTTCAGTGTGACCCAGTAGTGTTCATCCGGACTGTACGTGTCTCTTGACCATTCAAGCAAGTCTTTTGCACGTGCATCAGTCAGTGTAAACTCTACAAATTCTTTAGTTAATATGTAATAGGCACTACCAAAATATATGGTCAAGTTGTATGGAGGTTTAGCTTTTGTATTCTTTGTGGGATACACATACGACACTCCAGAATGCACGTATTCTCTGTAACTAACCTGCGTCCTGTGTTTCATGTGAAGTGGTTGGACTACCCCAGGAGTCATATTTTTACCATTCCATTTACTTTTGATATATTTTATGATGTCTTTGTTTGTTTTAATAGGATAATCTTGGCCACACAGATTAATAACATAATTCCATTGGATTTTGGAATGAACCAGATCTCTCATGCAGTTAATATCAGCTTGTAGCCTTGAAAATCCTGCATAAACAACGCTCTCCCTTTTTGAGGAAATAAAAATATTTTCAAAGCAATTTACAATGTTCTGTACAGCAGCTTTATAATCTGTTGGTGACTTCTCATCAACGTGTATGCAGTAAACATTCTGAGGTGTATAAATAGCTCTTAGCAGCTTTACAAACATTTCCAGCTCCTTGTGGATTGTGATAATGTACGCCAGTGAGAAACTTCCTTCTTCATCTGACAGTGGTCTCGTTATAAAGTGCAGAGCCTTGAGAACTGTGGAGCAGTTGCATGAGGTCCGAACACAGCTGAGTGCTGCAGGTCTGTAGGTGTTCTGACAAATGCTTCCAATTTTAAGGGCCGCAGTTTTCCCCACAAAAAGAGCTGGACAAAGTTCATCTGGGTAATATCCACACTCTGCTCTGTTTGTGCTAAATTTCTGTTGCTCTTGCTCTGCAGAAAGCGTGTCCTTCAGGTAGATGAAAGTGTAGATGAACATACAGACAGCAATGCACAGTAAAAATCCTGATTTTGTTGCATCGAGTGGGTTCATCTTCTGTTACCCAGATACTGTCTTCTCATCATAGCTTAATTAGGCATGCAGATTATCTGAAAGGAAGATTGAGATAGAGAGGGAGACAACCCTATTGACTCTCTTTTAATTGATGACATAGTAGTAGTGCTTTTGTTAAGGCTGAGGTTACTCTTTCCAGTTACTAGGAAGGACTGTTTGTGTGCCCGTGCTCATGCTGCAGTGCATTGGAAACAGTACTTACAGACCATGAGGTGCTCTTCCTATGACAAACAAAATTAGGCAAAGAATCCCAAATGGCTTTGTGCACTAATTACCAAATGGCCAATAATATAGAAGTTAATCGTACAACCAGTGCAGGTTGGTCGGGGTCCAGCCCTCAGAGCTGGGGAGACTGTGAGCACTGCAGCTAAGGGGCACTCATTGCTGGGATTTGCTTGAGGCCTGGCAACCTCACGTTCTGCTGTGGAGGACCAGGATTCAGTAAATCAGGTCAGCAACAGTTGAATGAAATAACCAAAAGGGGAACACTAAAATGCAATCCACAGTACGCACTGTTCTTTATCCTATAAAGTGAGCAGGCATTTCTAACTCGTTGGAAACTTTTTTCCCCCTTCTCTTGACAACTTTGTTGAAGTGCTTTGGAAAGCACCTCATTTTTCCATTGTGATTTTTTTTTTCCCTGCATGCATCTTTCTTGCTGAAACATCACAAGTGCAGCAGTCCTGAGTCCTCCAGCTCCTACAGGAGGTCTGTATCCCTTTCCTAGAGAAAATTCCCTGCAGCAGAGAAAGGGTCATCAGCTGTCATTAAGCTTAATAATCAAGAAATACTTCATTTGTATTTTAAAGAGAATTCATCTCCTGTTGAATTCTACCTTATTTAGTGAACTTGTTTTTAACAAATTTTATAATTCAACCTATAAATATCCCATACATTGCATCATAACATATTTGTCATTATATAAGAATGGAGAACAAGCATCTTCTTGTAAATGTAGTTTTTTATCTGAATGCTGTTGTACTTCAAAGACTCTGGGTTTTCATTAGATAAAAGTGGGAAATAATTTTAAAAAAGAAAACACAGCTTAGGACTGTTGTAGAAGCTTGAAAATAAGGAGGGCATTGTAGTGAAAGTACAGAGAAAAAAAAAAAGAGACTAAGAATTTTAAAAGCATTAAAAATACAGAATTCGTACCAAGAGAACAGATACTGTATAGTAGTAATATCTTAAGATCCATTAGGTTGTCAGGAAGAAATGTACTTATTTTGTTGTCCTTACCAGTATGCGCTGCATTTCATGCTGGATGAATGCCTCTTTTCCACTGAGCATTCTGGAAAGTGGATTTGTGTGTTAGGTGGAGGATTCATCCATTTTGATTCTGTGTTCTGTCAGCGGAGCTCTTCGGTCTGCACTGAACGCAAAGGCCAAAGAAAAACAGGAGGAAATCAAGGCCCAGGGGAATATTTTTTTTTTTTTTCCCTCAGCTGCTCCCAAGGGATAAATTTACTGTGTAAACAACCTTGGTTGTCTTTCAGCCATTTGCATGGAAAAAAAAAAAAACTTCAGCAACTCGAGTCCACTTCAATCTTTCAATATCACACAAAGAGGAAGGGAAAGGGAATGGCAGTGTAAGGTGGAAGTAAGGATTTCTGCAGTGGAAAGGACGAGGGTGGTGCTGCAGGCTGCTACCAGCTGACTGCCAGAGCCAAGCAGGGATTTGCATAAGGGCCATTAGCAAAAGCAGAAGTTGGGGAGGGAGTGTTACAGAAACACTGAACCTTTTTGGAGCCGAAGCTAGAAAAAACAGTTTGTTCTTAGTGAATTATTAAAGGAGAGACATTACAGTTACTTTGTAATAGTGAATGTGATGAGATCTCTGTGGAACTTCGCATTCTGGACATAAAAATTTCACTGAAGGTACTGCGCAGTTACAGAAATGTTTGGGACTTGCTTGGAAAACAGCATCTGTCTGTACAGCATGAGCATTCTGTTAGCTTTTCTGCTTTTCCATTGTTTATTACATGTTGGATTTTTGGTTTTGGTTTTTTTTTTAGTTCATTACAGCTCTGCACAGTTTGTGAAGGTTAGCTCTCTGCAGATCCAAGCTGTAACCTGTTTGTTCCATCCCTGAAATTCTGATTGCCCATCACATCATAGCTTCCAGGGATGTTTCAGATTAAGTATTTACTATGAATTTTTTCCTACTGAACTGTGTAGCATCTAGAAGCTGTGTTTTATATAGCAGCATAAGGGCATACAAACACTGCTGTCAGCCAAGAGGAAATAATTCCTTCTCCAATGCTTAAATGATTCTGGGGAATGACTTAATGATGAAGCCTTTCCAACAAGAGCAAAACTTGACATCTTTCAACCTCAGTATATATTACAGAATGCACAAACTAACTTTCTGCTTGTGTGTTAATGGTTCTGGGGCTGGAATTGTCTCTGTTAGTCTTGTTCTGAATGCAGTCTAGGAGACTTACAAGAGTCTCCTAGCCCCAGCCCTGTGACCTGCTGTGAAGAGCTGTGCTACCATATCCTTCCTGCCCTTGAAGAGCAAGATCACTTCTTACCATTAAGAACATCCACACTCCAGGACTAACCAAGGCTGCCTTGTCTTTCAGTTTTCTTATGCTGGAATGCAACTGTAGGTATTGAAACTCAGCCTGTTCTGTACTATGGGTAGGTTTGCTAAACTCAAAGCGTGAAGTTGTCTTAATTTGTAGAAGTGCTGAGAGTGGCATTCTTCAGAGAACAGCCCATTGTAGGGATGGTCACGCATCCTTGGGCTGCTGTCCTAATGGACAGTTACCTAATGGAGAGTTACTGTCTTAATCCAACTCCATTAAAAGGTAAACTCTGGAGAAAAATTCAATTATACCTGAAAGCAGGCCTGTGAAATATCACCTCAATTTATAAAAGCCCCATTAACTGCATATGTTGCAGTGCATTTCAGAGTTAGGATGGGATCATTTCACAGCTCACTGTTTCTTCCTGCTGCAGGGTTTCAGAGTGCAGCGTTGCCTCTCTGAACCTCCTGCTCTGTCTGTACCCTTTGAACTGGTTAATGTTAATGTAGGCTTAGGAATGCTTCATCTTCTAATAATTATATGGTGAAAAGGCTGTAGCTCTTGTATTTCCAAATATTTTTACGTCTGTCTGTCATCTGAAAGATGTTTACACTAAGGCCTGCATAAGCAAGTGAATACTAAGTTAGTCCTCAATAAACCCATTTGTAAAATTGGTGTTTGTAACTGCTTTTTACTTAGCTTTTTCAGTCAGCCTGGGTGAGTATGCTGATTCTGCCTCTGCGTTGTGACACGTATCAAGTAAATGAAAATGTTCTTCAATCCCAAATTGGACCACCTTATACATTTTAGAGCATTCTTATTTGAATATTACATCAATATTTACCCATAAATACAGATTTTTGGAGACTTACCTTCCTATCTATGATTTTGTTGTTGGATGGTGTACTTGACCTCATTGCAATTTCAGTCAAATACTACAGGAGCTACTTCAACCACTGAGATACATGGTTGTGAGATGCTAAGCTGTTTGGAACAGAAGTAAACCACATATTTGTAAGTGTTGAGACTTCTGATGTAAACAGTGCTTGTAGTAATGGCCAGCCTGTCCTGCACATCAATGACAGAGTGAAAACAAACAGACCCTGACTGCAGGCTCAAGTATTCTGTAGTGAAATGGCCTTTCTGAAGTGAATTTTTTTTCATAAAAATTAGACTATTTTGTGCTTTATTTAAGAGAGTGAAAAACCTGAAGTCCAAGAATGTAATTTATTTCATCTTACCTTGTCCGGAGTCAGCCAGGAGAAGGCAGCATAATAAAAATAAATGGGGTCCCGTTGTCCTTCAGCAACACTCAGGCAGCGTTCTTCATTCTGCTGCTTATGTGGAAATTTCATAGAACTGAAAGGGGTTAAACATTAACACGACTTGATCTGGTTCCCTGCGATGCTTAGCATATTTATTCTGCTGTTCAGGTTCAGAAGAAATGTCCTCTGCTTCACGACAATAAGAGAAAATGTGAGCTTCTCCAAATTTTTGGTGCCACTGTTCAGAGACAGTCTTTAAAAGGCCTGAAATCAGACTTTCAGATACGTAGAGTGCATTGCTGATGATTGTAAATAGTTGTGGTTTACCTCCAAGGCTTTAACCCCAGTGCTGCTAGCAGAGTGTGCTGGATGATGAGAATGGGAGGGAAAGCTGCCCTTTCTCCTCCTCCTCCTCCTCCTCCCTCTTCCTTCTTAACTGTTTGCCTGCTGAAACTTTCCAGATTGCAGCAAAGAGGCATAGGAAGGAAATGCCCCTGGTCGTTTCCACTGATGTCTGGCACTGAAGGGATAATGCATGAAATGTCATCCTCCTGAACTGTTCGCTGTGCTTTTATTAGGACTCTTGGGGGTTTTAATAAGTGAAAAATTAACAGTTCAGGTTTACTGGATTTGCAAAGCTGTTGCAGTACGTGGGGTGGGAAGGCTGACATATTTTGGATACTTACAGATAAAAATAGAATATTGCTCGGAAATAAAGAGAAAACCTCAAAGTAAATGAGGGCACAGCTGCAGGCACAGCAGGTAGAAAACTCACTGACTTGAAGGGAAGCTGTATGAATAGAGGCTGCAGCTCGGGCAGTCTGCTGTAGTGGATGCTGTGTAACTCCTGAGAGAAAGGGCTCAGCGCAGACGTGCAGTGTGTGGAGGAGACTTTCCCACTCATCCCAGGTTATCCATCAGTCTTTGTGCCATTGCTGCTCAGACACAGCGCCAGAAGTGCTGCTCACAGCTCCTGCAGTGCTGCCCTTCCAGTGAAGGAACTTCTGGAAAACTCTCTCATGTTCATAGTTAACGATTACTGTCTCTTGTAGCTGTTAATTCATCGAGCTTGTGTGGCTGGTAAATGAATGCTGGCTTGGTCCTTGGCTGAATAGCATGTCTGCTCAGTGCCATCTCTGCGTGTTGCCCTGTCTAAAAAGGAATGGATGGGACGTGGGGATGCACATCCCCTGTTCTGGAGAGAAGTGGTTTTGGAAAAGTATTGACTCCTGCCTTGTTCATAATGGTCACATTTGGGAGGGCTGCAGGAGTTAATTTGGTGTTCATAGTTCAGGAAATGACTTTCAGGTTTCTGTAGGGCATTAGATTTTAATGCTGATGTAAATACTTAGATAATGGGAATGTATTTGCCTGTTATCTAATTGTATTATGAGGCTGCAGTAGTCGTGGATGGAACTAATCTGAAACACTGAACAAAATAATGGCTATCAGAGGTAATGAACAGCAAGGAATTGGGTACAAATGTTGTCTTCTAAGTTTCGGCCACAGAAGATGATTTTGTTATTACTGAAAACGAACAAACAAACAAAAAAACCCAGCACCTTTGTTCTCTAATGAAGACAACTATCCTACCCTATTAAAATAACCTTATTGTCCACGTGATTTTAAGTCTTCAGGGTGTGAAGTTGATGGTGGATGGGTGTGTTCACGTGTGTTATAGAATCATAGGCTGTTCGTAGGATATATAGCATACATATAAATGTATAATATCAGCTTTTGAAGACTTCTTAATTGTATGTGCACAGCCTTTAAATAATTCCCTGATGTATGTTAAGCCATTTTGGTGTCACAAATGTACTTTCATGCTTTTGTGATTCGATCCTGAAAGGACATCTGGGCAAAACCTACACAGCCCATCCAGCACGTCCTTCAGTGTAAATCCCTTCAGCTTACAGCTCTTCAGTTACCCTGAGTCTCACCCACAGCTCTGCAAGCTGCTGTTGTGATGCCTTTGTCCATTTCAGAATAGTGTTCAAATTCATTGGAGTGTCTTCTGTTCAGAGTGCTGCAATAGCATCAAGGAACTGTGGCAAATACCTTCATACGTATTTAAAGTCCCAGTATAAACAAGGTACAGCAAGGAGACCTTGTGATATTGTCAGACAAACATCTGCCAGAGAACACCTTGACCAGAAGGAATAACCTTCCTGAATTTGCAAAGCTGAAATTCCTTTGTTTTTTACACAAATGTTTCAAGTACTTGAATTATTTTTTTTTTCATGAAGAAACAGTGATTGCTTCTAAAAAAAAAAAAAAAAAAAAAAAAAAAAAAAAACCAAAAAAAAAAAAAAAAGCAACCAGAAATAATACTACTATCTACTGTAAATAGGGAAATTGGAGAAGGTGGAGTCAGTGCAATTTCACTTTAGAAGAGTTCCAACTGTGTTTTCCAGATGAGAGCCCGGAATTTCTTTCCTTTTTAAAAACATTTATGAAGGTTAGAGTGCTTTCACGTGAACTTTCACTGCAGGAAGCAACCTTGTGGTTTCATATGCTTGATAGGATGTGATTTTAAAAACTACTTCCTAAGTCATTAGTCTGTAGGTGGCTGTGTGCAGTTCCTGCTGCATTCAGAAGAACATCAACGAGAAGTGAGCATGGAGGGCTTCTTTGGAATCAGAACTGTTCCAGTCGTTCTGTCCTCAGGATAAAGACTGTGGTCTGTCCTGACTGGGAGACTTCTCACTCCCAAATGCCTGAGCTCAGACTGAGCTGCTATTTCCAACAGTAGCTCATTGAGCAGCAATGGAAAAACAGGCTGCTCTCCCACTTCTGACCCACTGCTCTGCCCAATGCACTGAATATTCATCTCTGCAACCCTTACTTCTCTGCCACAGTGCCCCATTCATTTTTCAAACTGTTCATCACTTGGGTTACCTGTGTTTGTTGTAATTGAACAAGTGAAAGGTATGTATGGTACTTCAATGCCTGCTACCAGTACATGAGTAACCTTTACAAACCTCAGTGCAGAAAACAGAGGAGTGGTAGCAGAGAGGAACATGAACCAATCCTGCAGATTTGCAGAAAGCCTCTGGATTTACCAAAATTAAAAAGAAATGTAAACGTAAAAAACTAATGAGATCTTAAAATGGCAAATGCCATAGTGGATGTGCTGGGTGTTTTCCAGATGATTAAAAATTGTGCAGACATCTGTGTGCTCAATCAGGAGGCAAGTTACATGAAGCAGATTACTTATATAATCCAGATTAATTAATAAATGCTCTTTGAAAATGTAAAACTTGGTAGTGTTTAATAAATCAGGTGAAGTACAGTGAGATAACAGGGCTGGGTTAATGAATAATGCCATTTTCAGGGCTCCTTTGTTTAAATGAATTGCTGCTCTCAGGCACTGTTTTTTATATGACTGTCAGTAAGTGGAAAAATGCAGTGCTGTACTGCTTAGGTTTTAATCAAATGCATTCACAAGTGAAAAAACCAATATTGTCATAGCTCTGAAATTCTTTTAGGATGTGCTGTGCAGATTGGTGTGGGAGCTGCTGTTAGATGTGGTTGTTCATGATTCACTAAAAGCTGAATGCTTTTCTTTCTGTGAGACCGAGGTACCAACGGTTGGTGCTGTTCTGCTCAGTAGTAGAACCTACCATGATTTTCCCTTTGGTGTTATAAGTGCTGTATGAAACAATGAGAAGAGAAAAAGTGTTGGAAAAGACAAGCAGTAAAGGGAAAGATTAGAGAACTCCTTAGAGAGAAGAGGGTAATCAGAGGGGTTAGTTCTAGCAAAGGTGTGCTGGGATGAAGATCCTGACAAAGTAGTGATTTTTTTCCTCTTGCCTTGAAGTGTGGTGTTCCCTTTCAAGAGGAAGATGTGATTATCCTTAATGGTAATAAAGAAGATGTGGAAGTACTGAAGAAAAGAATGGAGGACAGAAGACTCAAAAGTAAATTAGAAAAGGTAATCTTATTGTCTGTTGAGTTATTTTGTATGATGCAATCTTCTGTCAGATCACATAACTTTTTCTGCTGCTCTTTATACTCGCTGGAAGATGGACTTGGTGTGCTGTGTTGTACTTCAGTGCACTTCTAAAAGCAGAGCCTGTGAGATGCTGTGTCCATATTCCACTCACAGTATGCTCACCTTGTATCTGCTGGAATCTGTCTTGTGACTAGCAGGCACGGTGCTCTGAAAATCATGGAATTCAGTGATACAGGTATAATGAAGCCAAGAAGTGTGGTCATGTTCTGCAGTTCTTAACAGTCCTGATTAATGACAGTGATTATTCTCACTGTCTTGGCATATTTTTTTTTAATTTAAACGGGCAGAATGCCATCAAAATATCCCTACTGTGCACTCTCATGTATACTGCTGTTCTGTCAAGTAGCAGTTGCTGCATGGCACAGAATTGTCAAATGACAGCAGTGCAGTGAGCTGCCTGTCTTCCTGCCCATAAGACAAAGCATAAGGAAGAAGGAGCTAACACTCTTCTCTAGTAATCTTTTCAAGTTCTGATTTCTCATATGTGCCCATGATGAAATACATATATGCTCACCTACATTCATATATGCTATACATAATGTTGCCAGATAATGGGAGGTAGCTTTTCTTTCTAAATCAGTAATAACAAAGACGAAAGCACACTGAAAATAAGGGTGGGTTTGTTTTGTGCATTTACAGTGAAGAGCTCCGGGAAAGCCTGGCCTGCTGTCAGCATTGTGCTGCTCTACCACCACCTTCTGGCCGTGCTCTGCAGCGACTTGTGGTGTGGCATCTTTTTCCCAAAGCGTTAACCATGTTCTTCACAGCATGGGTTCTCGGAATTCTCATAAAATATTTCAATAATTTATTTTCATTGTGTTTGTCTGACATCGTTGAGTTATGTGCTCCATTCTGAGTGTATGATAATGACACCAATGGCTGTTCTAATACATCTTTCTTTTTCACTTTGGCATTTTATGTAACCCAAGCCAGTAATGGGATACTTCTTGTTGCTGCTGTTTGTGGGGATTTTTTTTGTTTGTTCTCTTTTTTTCATCTGGACAATCATAAATTAGCTTGGAAAATCTGGTCCACAGATGCTTTTAAATTTTTTCAATTACTCACACCTTTTCTTCCCAAGGAATTTGCAATAAAGGACCCAGTTAATGCAAGTTACCCAGAAGGGATTTTTCAATTAACGAAATGAAAAGATGCGATATAAGATGTGGGATTATTCTGAATTTCTTAATGAAAAATATCTTTATCAATTACAGTTACTGTGTCCTGTTGGAAGTCCTTCCATTTCCTGTCCCACAAGTGGGTCCAGAGCATGAGATTACATTGGTGATTATCCCTCCTGCTGCCCCACTGCAAAGTGCACAAACCAAAATAGCAAAGCTGGA